ACTGGCTAACACACATAAAAAACAGTCTGTTCGGAAACCAGATGATGGATTTTAGTGTGCAAGAGAACCAGATGATGGAAAAACCGTCAAGTGCTTTTATATCAATGTTGGAGTTCGAGTGGATAAATCACCAAGAATCAGAAACACTTACTTTCAGTTAGACCTGAAGATCATATTTCTCACTGAAACATAGTCGTTGTGAACACCCAGATATTCTCCCACCTCTTCTCACTTCGAGTTGCCACATTAGGAATGTTCTCCTAGCCGAAGTGAATTCATCCTCCAGGCCTATATCTTTAACAGTAGACTTGGAAACCACGTACTCACCCATGGATTAACATCCCCCTCTTGGACCCCATATCTGATGCATGTCTCATAAATTATCACGGTTATCATCACAAAATACCACTGATTACTTTCTGTCTCTCTTATAATCATTTCCGTTCTCCATTACCACTTTGATTATGTCTCTCCACACATCATCAGTTAAATAAATTAATGAGTTATTATTGATCAATCATCTCATTGCAATCGAAATATCACATAATTTCCACATTATTATTATTATTATTATTATTATTATTATTATTATTATTATTATTATTCACAAACATCTTATGGGTACATAAGTGTTGTGAAGAAACCATTTCGGGTTTCTTCAAAAAATGCAATAATACACAATTTTCAATAATGTCAGCGTTATACTTGCCATTTTAAAAAAATATTTTGAGCAATAATAATAGAATATTAATAATAATAAATCGGGTCTGTGCAATTGAGAAGAATATTGAATTGAGTTTAAAGAAGGAAATGGAGAAAATAAGGGGATAGAAATAAAGGAGACGTGAAATACGCAAACAGTCTAATAGGCATGTTTACGATCACAGAACAGAATAAACGACTATGTGTGTATCGTTAAATTAGTAACAAAAAATAATTAAGAAAAAATAACTTATAATTGCAGTAAGATATGACGCTAGAATAAATGTTTGTGCAGTCACATAGCTTGGAGTGGTGCTATAAAAGTAACAATTAAATGAAAAGGATAATAAAATATCAATATATATGAGTCATATATGCATAGTGAAGATAAAACGGGTCTGAGAATTTAATTTAAGTGTAACACAAGTTATCGTTTTAATTACAAACTTCGTTATCTTAAGAATAATATTTATTTAGAGGGAAAGAATGAAGTGAAAAGAAGTGAACACTTAGTGAAAAGTTTTGATCCATGATAAGAATAATAATTGTGTAATGAATATCAACCTCAGAAGGAAACCAGCAGTTGAAAAAATGAAATAAAAATCCGTTAAAGCACTCGGATGAATACATTTAGATTTATGTAATAGTATACAGAGTGAAACCGGGTATTAGTATAAATATTTGTGCAATAATAATTAAGATTGATGCTATGAAAGTCAAAATTGATTTCTAAGGACCAACCAACCAACCATCTGCCCGGTAACGTGATAGCTCCTGGTATTGAGAAGTCCTGTTGTCGTGAGACAAACGCACTTGTTAAACTAGGAGATACACAGAGGTACACAAATAACTACCACATTGAACAGAATCAATGCAGTTGAGTGGATAGACCACCACCCATTTTGGATAACCGAATCTTTTGAACCGTAGTGGAACGACAAGAAGCGCGCTCAAATATATCGATTGGTTGATACAAGCCCGTGACAAAGATATTGGATACTCAATATCAGATCAAATAACTTCAGTATATTTCTAGACCTTTCTTTTCTTGTGTAGTTTGAAATCATGGAGACTGCAGCGCAAAGGCTCGATCAAAAAGAACGTATGTTTATGGATCAATCAGTCCTGCAGCACAGTATAACATACAGCTGTTGACGTAAATAAATTCAAAAGTACGTTGCAAAATGAGTGGGTCTAGTGTTTCATAACAACATTTGTAAATGATTTATGCGCAGAATCATTTAAGGCACTATCCCGCCTTTCTGCTTTCTCAACATACTACTTACTATTATCAATCAACAGGAGGCATAGGACAGGTGTTTCGTCCAAATATAGGAGACCTCAGCTGTAAGGTAAAGAGAACGATGAAAATCCCTCCGCAGCTTTTTTGGGCAGTACTGTGGTTTATTTGTTTCTTCTACCTGTCTTGTGTTTTAACCTTTGTTCACACTTCGTTTAATCATACCTGTAGTTCTTCATTCTTCCTCGCCTGAGGTTTTATTATGTGATTTTGATTGAAGGCTAACTCTTTTTTACCTAATTTTTATTGCATGTTGCCGACCTATTGACATTAAGGTCGTTTTTGACTGAGCTCAGGGTCACGGCGTGGTTCAGTTTGTGGCTGTTAACCTTTTGACTTTCTGCTTGGGAGGATTGCTGGAATTTCCGCAGATAGATATTTGATCCCATCTTGTTGAGAATATTTTTATTGATTCTCAGGTATCGATCCTCTTGTAGTAATTCTTTTTTTTTCGTTTAGCGCGCAATCGCAGTCATGCAATGATTTATTTGTAACAGCTGATCGTACCATTCAGTACTTCAGAAACCCAACCAACCATCAAACGAAGGTCGTAAAAACTCATAGCATAAATAGTTAATACAGTGTTGGAACTGAGTTTGAGTTGTTACGACCAGTGTAATATGATCGCATCACAGTGAAGGGATTACCGAGTAACTAGGTAGAAAATTTACGTCCAATTATTACTTAATAAATAGATCTTACTTTACTGACGGATTTTTATATGCGAGAACAAAAGTGGGGAACAGCGGTGTCATATTAATCGAACACCTTCTAGGCGACTCTGTTATCAACAGTCCGCTCTATGGACAGATATGGATATTGAACAAGACTAGAGTTTATGGACGGGCCAATCAGGTATAAGATAACAGTTCTCGGATTTTGGCTCGAAACTCACTCATTCACTTGGCTTAATAGAGTTCTGGCACTATAGCTGATTTCATCTGGTGATGAAAACCCTAAATGTAATTCTTGACTCTAATCATCAACCGTAAATCATAATTCTAATTCCCCACAGTGGTTTATAACACTCATTCAGTCCGAGTTATTAGGTGAAGACCTTCAGTGCCACGTTAGCGTTACTCAAAGATCGTTCATAAGTTATATTCTCACCGTATATTGTTACATGTGGTAGGCTTCTTTAACGAGTAACATCCTGAGTCTAAAAAATATTTCTCCCTACACCTTAAGCACATCCACCATTAGACATTTACGAAAAGCGGGGACGATTTGTTGCTCGGGAAGATGATTTGGATGGAGTTTTGTTATCTGAGTTGGATCGTTTGATCATGGAGCTTTCATCGTTCTTCTGAACAACATCATCAGCACGAACTTCAGAGAGAAGTCTGTGTATCTGAAGTTTGTGCTGATGATGTCGTTCAGAAAGACGATGAAAGCTCCATGACCAAACCATCCAGCTCAGACAACAAAACTCTATCAAAAAAATCTCCGAAGAGCTTCAATTGTCTTCTTAAGAACTTTAAAAATTTTTTTAGAGTTTCTTCTCGTCCAAAATAGATTTCGCTCTCGCAGAACGAGTTCAAGTTGTTGTTATGCTGAAAGTACTTTTTCCTGATATTTAAAAGTATAAAAACAATAAAGTCGCTATCGCTAATGTTGTTACTGTTTCTTTGAACTCTCTATTTTCTACACTTCGGAAAAAATGGTAGACAGTATCCGACGATCCGAGTACTCCTATAATATAGTTAATAATCTATAAAATAATAACGACTCTTAACATATGACTAGCCATAACGGCAAAAAACAGCCAAAATAGAGGTTACACGTTTTCAAAAAAGCGAAAGTGGTGTATGAATTTTGAAGATATTGGGGCGATCTCCACCATTTACGAAGAGATAATTTCCGTATTTCTGTAATCGCATGTGTACAAAAAACTGGTATGCTAATTATGTGTTTGGTTGCATCAATTTGCTAACTTTATGTAAGGTATAACGTCATGATTACAGAACATTGACCATTTTAAGGCATTAAGAATTCCTAGATTGAATCTCTTGTAGGAAACATCCAGTAAGGATGCAGACATGAGGTATTTTTGAATGTATTCTACTTACAGACATAAATATTTTCAAACATCTTTGTCCATATGTTTCCCAAGACGAGTCATCAATAATGAGAAAAATAGAGTTTGATAAAAGTCCGATGTTTAGTTTAAATACAATGAAACACTAACAAAAACTCACGTGACTATCCAGATGAGAGAATGATTGCGACAAACGGTTTATAGTTTTTGAAAATTGTATTCCGCACTTTGTTTTACTTTTCCAAATTATAATTTGATACTCAACCTTTCATTGGTTCACTTTTAAGTGTAGTCAAAACCTTGGAGATACAACAACTTGTATAATCATATGGATTACTTGAAAATTTTAACATTGTTTCGGCTTAAAATTTACTAAAGCAGTTGAGAACGTTTTCACCACAAATAAACCACCCAACGTTTCCAATATTATGTCCAACTGTCAATTCGATTGCTTGTTGTAATTCGCACAATGAGGAGTGAGAGCACCACTGAAAATATATCCGACTCCACAGACACAGTAAAAAAGCGTTTAAGACCTAGAAGTCCTTTCATGTATAACAAGACCGCTGATAGGTATCAGTTTGACTCTGATAGGGAAGTTTTGGAAGCTCAATACCGAAAGTCACCTGTCTTTTACAATTCACACCATTATCTTGCAAATTTTATTCGACCCGTTTCCTTAGCCACATTAAAAAGTCTTTCTCACGCTAAACCGAAGACTTGCAAGCTAAATGTCTTGCGAAGGCGGGATACTAAAACGATTCAACCCATATTCTCAACTCATAAAGATGATTCTCTTGAACGATTCAATATAAGAAGCGCTCCTTCTGACGTTGGATCGATAATACTGAAATCTAGTCTTGGTAATGGTGTTCAGCGTTTACTGAATAATGAAGACTGTAAAAATTGTTCTTCGTAGTCTCTAATGAAAAACATACTTTATTACACAATGCTCAGTTTATGAATATTAAAAGTCCACATAGTGAGCTCCAGTCACCAAACGATCTTCAACCTTGCTCCGAAAAAATGCCTTACAACATGAACCCCAGTGAATTGGTCTCCACTGAGCCATGTACTGTAAGTCCTCTCTCGTACAACTTACGAAAACCACATGTAGCTCCTAGTCTCAAATTTATTCGTTATCCAATTCCTTCAACTGCAGTGAAAAGAATGACACATAATGACAAAAATTCGGAGCTATCAACAAACTCTAGTGCTGACTCAACAACGAAGGAAAAACCACCTGTTCAGAAAGAAACCAAGCAAGACAGTTTATCAGTAACATACAGAGGTGTCAGAGCATCTATAAAACGGGTTATACAAGTCCGAATCCGTGTTTTCCGGAACATGTAAAAATACATCAGCCCCATTCCAACTCAAGTACAACATACAAGGATATCAAACAAGCCTTCGAAAATTTTAATAAAGCCACTAAACAGTTCAAAACATATGAAGCATTTAGCCAGTCAGTGGAAGATTTTGCCAGTTTTGACAACAGAAAGAATTCAGGCGTGTTAAAAATTGCGGGTGATGGGAACATTCAGTATGCCATATCCGTCATCCGGCCACGTTCTCATTCAGTTGTTTTACTAAAAAATCATGGTTTGCATGAAGAAGATAACAGAAGTGGTGAAATTCATAGTGTTGTTTACGAACAACATGAATTCAAAAGTACCAGGTATGTGAAAACTTGTTAATTTTATATCTGAAAGTAGTTTGGTCTTACAAGCCCATTATTATTACTGATCATTTACTCCGTCTGATTAAAGTGTGTTTCGTCTCAGGAATTCATCGAATAATAATAGCTTCTTTCTACAGTACTATCGCATCATGAGAAGTGGTTTATATGATTGAGGTGGGTCTTATTCTAAAGTTTTCCTGGATTCAGCTCGGAGTTTGCAGCCTTTCCAGTTGTTATTTTTTGTAATCAAAATGAGCTGCCTTAATTTTTATTGTTGCTGAAGTCGTTAATCATAATCAACATAAACAATCCATAACACGAATTCATCCTATTATTCTTGACAGCTCAACAATAAATTTAGTCTATTTTGAACGAGGACCTCTTATCGTTTAGTTTGATTTTAAATTAGATCGTTGTGATTCGAAGCTGTATTCCTTAAATATTTTTCAATTCTATGACAACAATAAAATCACTGACAAATTTTGATCGTCTTTCCAATTGGTGTTTATTTTTGGGACCTAACTAGATGTTTTTTTATTGTTAAAATATGGATGCCACAAAGCGCTTTCGAACGCTGCTATTTTTTTGTTTCACGTTATATTTAAAATAAATCTACCTAATTAAACTTGTGAAAACTATGTATTTTGAAAGGAGCGTTTCTCCTGCGGGTGAACGCATACATCTAAAGTCATTTTTACTTCATTGTCATCCAAAAAAACAGTAGTAGTTTTTTGGGAATTCAGAAAATGGATCATTAGAATGGATATTAGAATTCATGTTGCAAATTATTCTGTAGAATTTGAAAATCGGTATCGCAGCTTTGTAATACTTTAAGTGTCACTAGTATTATAAATATGGTATGCTACAAACTTCATATTTTTGAGTTTCTATTTAAATAGAGCTGCAACCTTCATCAATGATGCCTCGATATAGTAGGTTTTATTATACAATTAAAATCCCAACATCCCAAATTCTGATTTTTTTCTAACTGATTCACATAACATCAGTGTGATTTCTGGTTACGTTACTGTGAAATTTAAGTATTTGAGATCAAATTTCTCATAACTGTTAATTAACTACTTTATACTTCTTGGAAATTCCGAAAATATCAGTTTCATTTCCTTATTTCGCACTAAAGATCATTCCGTAAATAATTTTGATGAGTAGTAAATGATATACAATAAAGGTAACAAAATTATGACAACTCTTTCTTGTTTAGTGTTTGATTATTATGTATTTGGTTTCTCTAATATTTTAAATCTGATTACTAAGTAATTTAATAACGTACGTTTTTACCTACATCTATTATTATTTCCTTGGCTCCTCGATAAAGAATAAAAGTTGAAAATGAAATGTTAAGCTGAAGCTTAATGTCCTAAAATTTAACTGCTTGATTGTATGCACATTAACATCGTTATATCTTACAGAAATGACTTTTTAACAGCTTTTACTTGCTATTTCTTTTTAATGAAGTGATGATATCCCCAATGAACCACAAAGCAGTTCTAAACCTCAAAGTAACAATGGTGTCGTGGGAACGGTAAGTGCATTTTTAAAACTGAAAGTTACTAGTACGTTTTTAAAAATTAAACTTTTTGCTGAATATTCAACTCACTTATCAGAAGCTCAAATTTGAGCAATAATTATTTATGAAAGAATTGAGATCTTTGTTTATCGGTCGAAACTTGAATGTCTAAAACCATAAGATAACGGTTTTATCACAAAATCTAAAGTCTTTTAGCATTAAGTAGCACATTTACTCAGATAATCATGATCAAAAAAATACTTCTTTCTTGTGTACGTTTCGTTCCCAATGTATTGATTATCAAGGATTATGCGTTTGTTGAATAAATAATTTTTCAGACTATAACAAATTGTCTAATAGTGTTTTAAAGTCAGTCAGTCGCAAAGTAGAACCTGGTAAGTATGTACGTCGGTTCAAGTTACCATACCCCATTAACACAGAGAGATGAAATTCATAAGCCAAAACCGGGTGTAAAAGAGATAGAAACAGTATTATTGATAATAGAAGAGATGAGGTATCAATGATAAAATTCAAGAAAATGTAAATTGTTGAAATAGAGACAAAAACTTCAGAATAATCCATAAGAATTAGAGATCAATATCGTATAGAAATCATTAGATATTAGTCATTCCATCTTAACTTTTCATATTTTCCTTTTAATTAAAAAGACTTCTCTCACTTTAACTCCTTTGTATTATAATCTCTTTGTTGAATTCGTTTAGAATTTCAATGTTTCTTTTCAGTACACTTAACTCATATAGTATACTTCTTAACTTACAACATAGAATCGATTCAAAATTGAACTTTGATTCCATTTCAATCTTCCCCTACTATAACCTATGTATTTGTTCTTATGAATAATTTCTTTACCATTCTTGTGCTTATAAGTCATTTTCATCAAAGAGCTCAGAAATTTAAAAATCCACCAATTTACAACAAATATAGAACTTTTTTCATTATGCTGTGGGTGCCATCAGTTATCTGAGGTCTAGTTATACTCATAGTTTGACTGTTTCAATCTCATTGATTGTGACACGTCTTCCACAGTAATTGTAATTCAAGAAATAAGATCCAACTTCTCAGTTTTCCGTATATTGAAGTTTTATTCTATCAGCTGTCTTTTAAAATAATATTTGCATCATGAGAGTTATGCTTGTTGTCACTGTTCTTTTTATATAGTACGAACGGCCGAGTTCTTTACAAGATCAATTACCGACTCTAAAGATACCTTCCAAGTTTACACAACAGAAAAACAATCGGAAATCGATAGTGGAAATGGTACTGATGAAGATGATCACATTTTTAAGGAAACTGTCTTATTGAAAGATGATTCAGTGACCCAGAAAGTAAACGAAAATATTGCTTATTCCTGTAGTGCTGATTCAGTTGAATTAGATGAATGTTTTTCATCTGATATTGATGAAGACGGTACTATCGTTGATGACAACAGTGTCAGCAATGATGATCAACAAATTAACTACCAGTTGGATGAACAACCTTTAACGTCTCCAAAAAATAGTAGCTCTAGTAAATTAGTGGATGAAAACTCAAGTGGTAACGTAGACTCTCCTAATCTAGCAAATATAAACAAACAGTCGGATACAATGTTAACTGACGGTCAGCAAGTTGTAAGCAAGAAAAATCCTGATTTAAATGGTAAACAGGCGATTACAGAAGTGGCTGTTAAAAAAGATTTAAATGAAGAATTGTGTATGCAATCTAAATTATGTAATCTCAAACTTAGTACATTTTCAACAAAAACAGAGAAACATTCGACACTACATGTAGTTGCATACGACCAGAACACAACTAAAAAAGGTAGGCTTTAAATAGATTCAAGCGTTTTCAGTATCACATTTTGCCTAATTGCATATCAGTCAATTTGTTAGAACATTCATTTTTATGAATCGTTTTGAATTCCTTTTATGCTTGCCATTTACTAAGCGGTGGCGATATATATGGGTTAGATTTGGTTGAGTTATTATTTGAGTAAATGATGCATGACACAGTTTACTAACCGATTTGATTATCTCTGTAAATTCATCCCAAAACAAGTTGTTGTCTTTTTATTCAATAAAATTAACCTATTACGCTACACTGATTTCCATCCAATTAAATATTGAAGATAAAATGAATATATCGATGATAAATACTTGAATAATTAACATAATTCAATAAATAAGAAAAAAGTTCGTTCGGTCAGTGTATGACATGGTGTCGTGGTATGAAAGAAAGCTGCAAAGGGCTGGCCTGTGTTGGTCCTTCACGACTCCTTGGTTGGGGTCCGAGACATGGTGCAACACAGTGGCTAGAGATGTTATCAGATATGGCTCAGAATAGAAGCCGGTGGCGATTTTGCTGTAACCTTCTTTTACTTTCTTCATAAGAAAATGGTTGTTTCTTCCTTAACTGAAAGATTTCTCCTGACTGTACCTTTCTGTTTCCCCCATTATTACTATTATTATTACACTACCTTATACTAGTCTGTTCGTTAATTTTCTTTTTTCCTTTTTTTCTCTTCAAATTCTCATTGTTTTGTGTGGCGCATATATATTTGGTTCCCTCTTGTACCAATATTTATGTGTTCAAATAAACAAATAAATAAGTTAGGAATTCATAAAAAAAGAGGTGGTAACTGAATAATACTATTCATTTATGTTTCTAATTGGTTGTCATGGTTCATTTAGTAAATACAAAAAAAATTTATTTAGACAGATATGACAAAATGAAAATATAATTTTGGTTGAATTGAATCCTAAGATTGTTTGAATGTGAACAATGAAAATATATAGACTTCAAATTTTCATTATAATCATTAATTACTCATTAAAAAACTTGCTTCAAAATGACAGTTGTGAATCTGTAGTTAAGAACTTTTGTCCAAATTCGATCGAATAGTTTCACAATACTTGGGTGCCAAGTTGTTATGAGACATTAGGAAGGGAGAATGTATTTATGAAATCTCAACAAATGAACATCCTATAGATTTATGATTATATTCCCTTAAAAAAACCATAGACTAAATTGTCAAGTGAAATGTTGAATTTACATTCTTTCTCTTTAATGTCTATAGTTAATTTTGTTCCAAATGTTGTATCCAAGAGAAACACAACAACAACAACTAATGATCATATATCAATTTATTTCATTTAACAGATATCATAACTACCAGCAAATTTAATATACCAAAGAATAATATGAATAAACAAAATGAAAATTTATCAATATCTTATTCTACTAAAACTATTGAACATAGAAATAATTCAGTAGAAAAGAAGAATTCAATAATGGTAGATTAATTCTTTTTGTATAATCATTATTTCTGATTTATTTTTTCACAGTTTGAATCTATAGAATTAAATCATTCTAATGAAAATCATTCATTGAAATTAGTTAATACTTCAAATGAATCACTAAAAAATATTGTTAGTTCAAAAGAAATAAAAATAAAATCTAAAAATGGGCTTGTGAATCGATTGACACAATTTACTAGAAAATCTCATCCAGCTTTGATTGATTCATTATTTCCAAATGTTCCACCAGTTTTACGATTTGTTGAAGAAGGACAAAAATGTATGTTTTGATAATATGGTCGGTTATTAAAAAATTTTTTTTTTACTTTTTTGTAAATATACTCTATCCTCTATAGGTTTTTTATTACTATGTTAGAATATAAGTACAAATAAATCCGCAATTTTAATAAACTTTTCAGTTTTTCAATGCATATTTATCAGCCTACTACTACTACTACTGTGTGTACTTTATTTGAAGAGAAAATAAACTGTATTAAGAATTTATCCTATGACCATTAGTCTAGATGGCTCACAGCTGTATGCTCTATTTCTATGTAAGGTAGTTGAGAGAGACTGTGGTGTGTGCTACTTATATTGACATAAGTAGTAGATGATGTTAGTCCTAAACAGAATGCAATTTATATGAAAATGCAAGAACAATGAAGTCTGAGTCATTATGAGACAATTGATGGACATTTTGCAAATTATGTATTTACTATTGATTGTTAGATTTTATTAACAAGTCCTGTAATTTTGTGTCAAATACATTCGATTGTCCCAACCCGTGTTCTGTTCATTACAAGACTACTGGGAATCCTTGGACTTAGATTTTGGGCTAGTTAATATCCCTCAGCATAGTGTGTTCGAAATCTTTGGAATGACCTTCTAACTGAGCTTTCTGGTGCAAGACGAAATTGAAAGATCAAATCCCTTACCATTGTAGTTGTTTTATAGGAACTATTGCTAATTAATACGAACCTTAAGACTTGGTTTTTCTCAAGATGATTTCAAACCCCATATAATATCTCATAAGATGCAGGATTCGATAAAAGATAGAAGCTTTCATTCACCTACCATTTTACACAGATTGTGTCCAAAAGTGATAATGAGTTTTTGTAAACAAATGAATCAGTGTATAATTACGTCGAAGATAAATCTAAATGACGAACTAATTTAGAGTTGTGAATTTTGTATCGATTTGTGTGAAAAATCAATACTACTCAACGACATATTGGATACGAAGGAGTAGTAAATAAACTTTTTAAACTCTTTTGTATGCATTTTTCCGGTATGTACATTGTGAGTCAGCGTCGAGTTAATAGGTCTCTTCGCTTTAGTCTTACGTGCCATTTGAGTGTTATTAGCCTAGTTCTTTTTAAAATACTTCGTATGGGATCATATATAGCACATAGCACCCAAAGTATTATGAAATCTGATGTATTTTGAAGCCTTCGCATTAAGGAAAATCTAAGACTTTATCCATGTATAGATGTAAAATTGTTTTATTTATAATTTTTTCACAGTTGAATTCACAGATCGACCGAAGCTAGACCACAATTAAAACCCTGGAAGCACTAGGCGGCCGGTTCATCCTAGTATAGGACTCTTCAGCGGTGCGAATTGATGACTCCGCGTGCGGAACTTGCACCCAGGACCATCGGCCCTGTGCACGAATCCCTAACCTCTGAACCACTGAGCGGGATGCAATAATGTCAGTGTCTAACTCCAATCGATCTATGATCTTGCGCAACCATTCATTCACTGTCTGAGGTGGACAAGTGTCTCACACCCGACACGGATTGGCTCCACTGGTCACGGTTTCTCACTAGAAATGCAGGAATTCTATCCTGAAGCTAGTCGCTGTTGAACTCATGATTATTATCAGTATGGGGATTCACGGAGATTGTAGCATTTTCACAGCTGAATTATCAGATATGGTAAACGGGATCTTGACAGTGCAAATATTTGATTCAAATATTAGAGAAATGTTGCGGATTGCTCACAACCAGACAGTGATTACTAACATTATCATTTTAACAAGCCTATTTTCTAATTTCACGCTTTCAATAAACGAATATTTTTGGGAAATTAAAACATTCGTAGCTATTTTACAAAGAAATATTATACGTATTTCTATTGTATACCCATTAAATACTTGGGTTCTCAGATATTTATAAATCTCTTATTGTAAGCTTCTATTTTGATTCATACTGTTATATGTTTTATTGTCTCTAAATTATCTCTTAACTTATCATTATGAACCGACTACTCAATTTTTGTCAGATATAACTTAGTCATTTAGACATTTCGACTTCATATTTATGATGCTTTAATATACACAAACCTAAGAGCTTTTAAGTCATGATAAACAGAGAATGGTAGACGAATTAATTTGTTTACTTCCTCCGTCTTCCGTCAAAAGGAGCTGATGGACTGATGAACATTGATATTCCCCGGACTTTATTCATGGTTATAGAGTTATAAGTAAAAAGAGATCATTGATCCAACAGACATGAATTCGATCAGACCGTTATTGGATTTTGTAATCAGCTACTTCTTATTATCAATTTACCAGATCAAGCAAGTCCAAAAAGTACAGGGATCTAAAATATAATACTTTAAGTGCTAAAATATTTGTTTATTAAACTATCATGTCTGGATTATCCTCATCACCAATATTGTGGCACTTTTCGCTATATTATTATTTATTTATTTGCTATGATTACTCATGTGTTATTCATCAATGCTACCACCGACCTATAAACTACATTGATTTATCTTGTGCTATCACCATATATATCTACCAATATATATCAGTGTAAAGCCTGAAGATAATACTGTTTGCATGGATGTCTTATTCTTCTAAGATGTATCGATGAGTTTAACCTTTATTTGATTCAAATAACTTGTTTATTTTAATCCAATTTCTAGTGGAACCATTGCCATGGGAATTTCGTCGGCTACTAAAGTGGAGGGCTAGCTCTCTAACCCCTATTGTAGTCAAGCAAACTTTGCAACGTACTGGGTTTAAAGCTTCAAAATGTTAGTTGTTTTCCCATATGTTATTTTATTATATAAATCATATGTTGTGAGTTTTTCTTTGAAAGTATAGATTACAGTTAAGTGGATAACGCGATAGACTTTGAAGCGAACGGTACTGGGTTCGAGTCCCGGGGAGATTACCAAGTTTGGGATTCAGGTACATCCAACTGACGAGTCCTAGGCGGGACGAAACGCACTTCCCAGATTCTACTACTAGCCACCATCAATCTTTTCTTATAATGCTTGTGATTTTATATAGATTTCATCTGTTTGCAAAATTAGGTGATCTTTTCTAAAGAATATAATTAAATTGTGCTGAACTATTAGACTTCACTGATGGACGGGTGAATACTGTACAGTAAATTGAGGATTTTACATTTTTATTTTTGGCCATTGGTTACGAGCTGAGTGATTTAACACATAAACTAGTTCTCCATCTAATCTGCACGAACTTCCCAACTATATCTACGCGCCTAATAATTTACCACTTGAATGGTGACTTCGTAACATTTCTTATTAATGTCATGACTTTACGTGAGAGGCTCGACTGATTATAGTTTCGAAAGGGAATGCGCACGGTGACTCTGTCATTTAGATAAAAAAAATCGTCTAGAGGAACCAATGTTTTCCTAAATTCAACATTTTTTAAAATCTTTAATCTGATTGGTTATCCAATTTGATTTATTGTTATTGTTAATTCAAGAATTTCCTTGGTTGGTTTAGTATTTGTCTTAGATGCATTTTGACGTTATTATATACAGTGAAATAACACTTAATGAAAATATGATAGAATAGTATTCTGTACATAGCTGTATACATTACCCATTGAATTCGATTCCAATTCAAAATAACTCCTTATAGATATCTACTTTGTATTTCATTTGACTCTTGAGAGTCCTTACATATTAAATAAATTAAATACATGATATCTATTTAGTTGTTATGCCCAAAGCCGCTAATCAGAAGCAGCGAATTATCGATCGAACCAAGGACGCGTAAAACACGTGCGAGCAGCCTAGAGTTTTTACATTTGTTGGTAGAACATGCTGGCGAAGACACTCATGGAGAAAATATAGCTGTTCTCGAGTGGAAGCAGCCTAAAGTCCTGATTGATCCTGATTTCCGCCTACCCATCCAGTTAAGTCCAGAACACCAGTCTCAGCCTCTGCAGTATGAATCCTTATATTTCAAACATACTGAGCTTATATTTCAATCAAACAAACCACAACGTAGCATAAAAAAGAAAATAAAATTTGTACAGAATTTGGCCAAATGTGGCTGTGAATGTGGGAGGCAGTGACTAATAGACAAGGCATAATTCAAGAATGGTCAAACGTGTAATAATGGTTCATAGGTCAAAACAAAGCTTATAATAAAAGGAACATGAATATGAATAGTTTAGTTATTTAACAATTATACGATAAAAATCTATGTTTAGTATTGGTTCATAAAAGGATCCCCAAGTTACCATTCATTATGTTTCTAGGGTCCTAACATTAGTAAAACGTGTCAAATTAATGAAGAATAATCCTAAAAATAGCTGTTTTCACTTTTTACTGAAATCAGATGAATCATCCATGAAAATTACAGAGTTCTGAATACTGTCTTCGTCACAGATTGTAACAGATTTACTGAACAGAATAGAAAATTATATGAGCTCAAAACTAGGATCTTAAGTTATCTATGAGCTTTAATACTTTCTGGTTTACTTTGATTATTCAACTAATGTACTTATGTGATAGGAACTAATATATCAAGTTATATAAATATTCATGAACCTTTTATATGAATAAAACAATAAATTTAAATCACATCCACACCATGTTTTTTGATTGATTTGAACTATTTAATTCCATCTAAATACTCCCTTTAATTTACAAATTTTATTGAACTTTCAGTAACTAATGCATGTGAAGACTTGGAAACAGTTGGTAGGTAACACGAGAATTACTATTATTAACTGTTTGTTTTTATAACAGCGAAACTTAATCCTTATACTTTTTATTGCTAATTCATTGTACTTGAAATTAGACAGGTTTCTTGAAAATGAATGTTGAAATTTATTTTCCCATAAACTATATGATACTATTTAACGGTTTGTTAAAATTCATTATTTCATTGAATCTTCATCAACATACTAAATAAAGAAAAGAGGCCGAAAATAGATTGTTTGGCTTTAAGAGGTATTTCCTGGAGTTCTAGTGAGAAGCAATGACCAGTGGAGTTCAACAGGGTCTACTATGAAATTATAACTCGCTGATGACAATGGCGGACAGTGGCGCAACTTCGTGGATTGATTGAATTTAGACATTAACACGGTCGGGTGCCGGCTTAGTGGTTTAGCGGTTAAGCGTTCTCAAGCGAGACTGACAGGTCCTGGGTTCGAATCTTGCGAGGCGGGGTCGTGGATGCGCACTGCTGAGGATTCCCACAATAAAACGAAACGGCCATCCGGTGATTTCAGGTTTTCGATGGTGGTTTGGCTTCAATCGATTCGGGATCCCAACTATCAAAATAAACTATTGTTTCTTTTTCTGGGTTAATTTTGTTTTGATTTTTCCTCAATTTTTTTAAAATGCACATACTGAAGTGCTCAAAATTTATTGTTTTTTCAAAAAAATTCTTTTGAATTTCTGATTGAAATAATTTTAAGAATCAAAGGTATTTTTACACTGAATAACAGGTTTTCTTCCTATACTTTAAGATAATAGTTCAGTCATTGATTATTTCTCCAACCATTTGTCTTAATCCCTAACCCATCAGCGTATCGAAATAGACCTTATTTAATAAATGTAGAATTTGTTCTTTTCATGTTTTCACCATTATTAATATCGGTATGTCTAATTATTATTTAATACGGCTTAAGGGCTCTGATATTCGAAAGTTTACTCTCATTGAGCATTACATCTAGATATAAAGTCATTTGTTCATGTCTTTAAGGTAAACCGTAAATTAGAATAGAGTTGAATCCTCCTGTATTTTTTAGTGTGAGTCATGTTCTTCACAATAAATGCCAACAATTTGCCAGTTTATTTTATAAATGATCTGAAACAACGACATTTGGGTATATTAAACCAGAGCAAAAACTTTAATTTACAAAAACGATGGTTTCAATTAGTCTTTTGTTAAAAATAATAACGGATTGATTAACAGTATAGTTTTCATACTAAACTCTTTACAACCACCCTTTTGAATGAATAATATACAAGATAAGATAAGAAATGTATTCATCATAGTACTTTGTTATAAAAATATAAAAATATAAAAATATTTACTAGTTTGTCAGGGTTGTATATGGCATTTGTTACTATGTGAAATGAATTATGTAATATCTACCAATAATCATATTGCGATTCTTTAACCAATGCATCAATTTAAATCTTCGAAAATTTAAAAACATAAATACTACTATAAAAGTTTCGGATAGTTTTAGAATTAGTACTATAAAATAAGTAACAATTGAACTTATCAATATGTCTGAAAGTACAAAGTAATTTTAGCAGAAGATAAAATAATTTACTTTGACCTTTAAATATATACAATTCATATCACTGCTGTGGTGTGTGCTACTTATATTGACTGATCTAAGTAGTATGTTGCACCAATCAGAAGAGAATGCCTGAGTACAGAAGATTTGGAACACTGAAATAAAGAGAAGAGAGAAAAAAACTAAAAGCAATTAAATTAACGGCGAGACTCTAATTTATGGACGAACCTTGAACGAATCTTAAATGACCTCGAGAAATATTAGCCAATTAGAAAACACCCAGTATAGAGTAAAAATATATTATACAAAACCAAGGAAATAAAGTGGATACACTTCTTATACTTGGTCCAAAAACTTGTCAAGGTTAGAAAGAGGTTCAGAGGATCTAAAATCGTAATGCATGCAGTAGAGGAAATCATCCATACGGCTACAGAATAGTCGGCCTCTGAAGCCATGATAAAGTCTCGAAAACTCTTTCAGCCTCAACCACATAGCTTCAATATTGTTTATGTGCACTTCGGTTATTGAACGCACAGAATGCTACTTGTGGGTGACGACACGATGCACATAACCAAGCATATGTAGTAGTCTGTACACTCTCCAAACATTGTATATATTGTAGTACCTGACTGCAGCGTGTTACTGGTGCTTTTATTATCCCGTTCGCAATAATTGTCGTAATTTGCCTTAGTTAGGAATTATATATAGGGTTTACATCAGGAACTGACATCAGCCATAATGCCAATTTTGCCCGAAATCCGAGATCATTATCTTATCCCGGATTGATTCGTCCACAAATTATAGTCTCGCCGTTTTATTTGTTATAGCCGCTAAATTATCACGTTTTGTATAAAAAAAACCCGTGAATTGATCGTACGTTAGCATTAAGCACTGAAGTTGGCGCTGTGATCTTGAAATCCCTCAAACGCTTCTGATTGGCTCGTCCATAAATTAGAGTCTCATCGAGTTAACAATGGAAATAAGGGAACAATCAAGTTTGTAAGAGACAATTGATGAAAAATGTGCAAATAAAGTATTTAATATATAGTTTTCATATTTTAGTTAAGACACACTGTAATTTTGCATTAAACAATAAAAATGGTCTTGCTCGCTTGATTTCTTTCTTCACTATACTACTATTATGTTAAACCACTTTTAGAATAGTATATTCAAAGAATCTCTTTAGACTGAAGTGTATTTATATATGTTCACCTATGATTGACTAAGTGAATTCATACATAACGTTCTTATATCAGACTATAATGATATATTTAATAATGCTTAGATTTATTTCAATTTTTTTTCTTGTTTTAAGTCTGTAATTTTATCATCTGTAGCATAATCAACTTGTTATCATTATTATTATTATTACTTTCAAAAAACCTGGTCAAGTGCATATTATCTAAACAGTCACCCTTTTGTTGTTCAAATAATGACCTTAAGTATTTTATTGACATCATTTTTTTTTATTAAGATAGAAACAAAAAAACTAGGATGAAGAAGAGAAAAAATATACGTATATGGTCATCTGAGTTCAATTAATATTTCTATATAGAGATAATATTTAATATTCACTCTTTGTTATCATAGTATAGAACTTATACTATTCAAGTACATAATTGTTTTAATAACTATAAGGATTAGTAGAAGTTTTTTTCTCTATCTCTTGTCTACAATTGATTTTATCTATTAAATATCCACTAATGATGAGATGGTGGCAATATGTTAATTGAACCGATCCGTTATAGTCAATATTATGTATGTGTATATAAGTTTATCTTATAATATGCTTTTTTTTTAATTTTACGCATAGATTGATTGTTACTATGGTGTTTACTTAGTGTATGTGTAAAATTTGTTTTCTTCTTTTTGAACTTTTTTTTTTCTAGAATCATCTGATTGGATATTTTATTTCGGGAAACATATGCGTCCACAAATATTTCGTACAATTAAAATGTATCAAAAGGTAGAAATTACATTCTTCTGATGCTTGGAATTTTAATGATCATTCTTTAAAATATATTTCTATTTATAAATTTATCACGAGTTTTTATATAACCTGTGTCAAATCTAGCCCTTAGATTCTTAAGATACCGCATATAACTTGAGCACTTGAACCCTAGAACCGTCTAAGTTGCAAATAAGAAGACAGAAGGAGATTAGAGAAAATGCTTGTTGGGCCGAAATCAAAATGTACAGAAAATCATGGGTATTTACAGATATTAGAGTTCGTTAAATCAACACTACAATTCAACCAATCCGCCAAGAAGTATGTTATGATACTGGCCAATAGTAGCATGCCACGTTGATATCCCGGAACTTTTCGGCTACTCTGGAGCCTCTAGAGGCTCCCATCGTAGTTCTCGGAAGCCGTCCGGACAACCTGTTCATTTAGTTACAATAAACAGAAGTTTAATAAATAAATGCGGTTATTTGATATACCTATATAATAAATTGTTTGATTTGTTGGTTTAAACACTGCATCCATATTGATATCGGACTTTTCTATTTTTATTCCTATGAATTACGTTTTCTTATTTGATTAGACCAGATAGTTTATTTAATTTAAAGCAAAATAATCAATCATAGAAGTTCTTTTTTTCCTCTACTTTACCTATAATTTAATGGATTATAACATGAATGCAACTGACAATTAAGTCTTTCATTTGAGGACCTTTATACCACGCGTTCAGTTATCATGTAGCTAACTCTTAATCATCTTATGGAGACTATTCCATTACACGCCATCATAATAAGTGTTTCAGGATTATTATTGGATGTCATTATTTGAAAATTTGCACTTGTCACTTAAGTTTGGACTAAAATCAATTATATCTTAATCAGTTGTTAAGAACATAGATTTTTGACAGATAATTAGTCTTCCTGAATGAAATATCTTGATTTTGACCAAGATTTTATGCTTCACACTTTGACACACCATATTGCTGACAGATAGGAAATCAAGATAGTATTCATATAAAACAGCTTTAATAATAAAATCCAGAGAATACAAATATATGTTGCCTGTTCCAATATCACTTAATTGACTAAGGAACCACTCACAAAACTGTTTTCTAAACTCTTCCTATGTATGTCATAAAACTCTATTGCATAATCAAAATAACAGTCAAAAGATATTTCATGTATAAGTCAAGACTAAAGGCAAGTACTTAAGCCAACTAAAGAATCTGGCATAGATATAAGTGTATCAACCCAAGTCTCTACACTTTCAACATCACAAAAAGTCAACTGACAAGATAAAACTAACAAAAAAATTAAAATAATAATACTAAGAGTCGTAGAAGGTCAAATATTTTTTTAGAAAAACAAACGACAATGAAAAATTAGAAGTATTGAGTAGTCTTCTCAAACTGTTTCTGGATGTTATTGTATTATTATAAAGAGATATGACTATATCTTAAATTCTATGAGGCATTTGGATTGAATACAGTCTAAAAGTTATCATCCCCATTTGCTTTTGTTGTTTAATTGATACAGGTAAATCATTTGCCCTGTTCATTTCAACTTGGTCGTAAAGATCGTTTATGGCGGAACATAGTTCATATGCAATTGAAACATGGAAAAGAACATTTTAATTTTATGCCACAAACTTATTGTTTACCTGGTGATTTAGATGAATTAAAAAAAGCATGGGATGAAGAAGGAGAAAATCAACGATGGATTATGAAACCGGTTCGTTTAGGATTAGACTGTTTTTTTCCTCTTTTTTATAAATTTTATGAGGTGAAGAAACTGACTTAAATGAAAGTGACTTATTAATTGGATCTTATAAAAAGACAGTAATCTTATCGTAGCATATAGAGCTTTATAAGTAGATATTACTATAGCATTATTGTAGGATCGTGAAGTACTCACCAATTTTTTTTGGATTTTGTTTCTCTGACAGTAGTTGACTGTATAGGAACGGTAGTAAAAGTATACCTTCCGTTTGTTGTTCGTTAAATGCTTCATGATTCTTTCAACTCTGTTGTTATTACAATTACTCTTTGTTTACATTCTTGTTTCTTTCAATTCGATCTTCTCAATCTTCTGCTGCATGCATCCCACTTCTGGTTGATGTTATATACTACTTATATCTGATAACATAAGTATCATACACCACAGAATAAGCTATATAAAGACCTTAAAAACTAGCTACTTAAATCTAATTAGCAAATTTTCACTCGTTTGTTTATAGCTCCGTATACAATCGGTGTACACCATATGCAAAGTATATGTTTAGTGTTTAACAAGATAATTGATCAAAGTGATCTCAGATAATTTTGACTAAAGCGTAAAGCTGGAGAGTACTGCTTTACTTGTGTCAGGGTGAATTCTCACTAACCAAACACAAAAGTAGTCAATGCTTATCATTCAGCATATTTTAGTTTTTATCGGTTCTTGTAGCCAAACGTATGACACTGAGAATCATTGAAAAGCACTTTGAACTTTACAGGACTTTTTTCGATACCAATACCCCTAGAACTAAAAACTTTACCTGGCATTTACATACTCGACATTACTTTTTAATGATTGTGCTTTTTTGTTCTAGTTCCGTGATGATTATCGACTAGATAAAATGAACTTATAAAATTATCGAGGATGTTTCAGTCTAGATTTTGTATAAAAATCTTCTTAATTAAATAATACTTTATATTATTTATAGCCAGCTTCAGCTCGCGGAATCGGTGTTCGACTGGTAACAAAGTGGTCACAAATACCTAAGAAGCGTCCAGCTCTTATTCAAAAGTATGATGTTTTGTTACAAATATTTAGTGATCATACATTTACTAAATGTCACTTATTTCTAGCTCTTTCTCTAATCTTTAATCAAATAACCGTTTTGTATGTTTTCAGTTATTGTTGTTTTTATGCTCAAGTATTTTGCTTACCCTGGATTTATAGATGAGAATAAATGTTTACTGATTTCTGGTGCTGATATATATTTATGACGTTACTTCTTGAAGGATCCAATGTACTGTGGCTTATTTAATTGTTAAACGCAAACCGTTTATAACCCTCAGAAACAAAAGTACATAATTTCACGTTTTCTTGTAACAAATGTAAATGTAAAGACTATCGATATTATATCGATTATTGATAAACCATATGCTCTAAAAGTTGTAAAAGGGTGTAATCATTAGTCTGTATTGATACAAACACTTTGTTATTTTGCTACAGATTTGATAGTTTTCATAACTAGTATAACTGGATCCAGTACAAAAACCGTAAGTGATTCTAACCTTAAGTATTTGTAGAAAAAGAATGGATGTAAAGTTTTGAAAATCTGACTTTGGCATACTTTTGTTATAGTTTATTTTAATTAAAAAGACTGACATGGGAAGTCTGCTTCGTGTGATACATTATTGGTCTAGCAAATCACTGGAATGAATTATTGAAGAAAATTCAAATTTCTTAAAGAACAAGCAAATAATTTCAGATGATTAAAAGCAGGAATCAATGCGCCCTGAATATGAATAGTCCAGTAGTAATATTTCTTTTCATGATACTATATGAAATACACCTAAATCTCGAGATGGAAGTATTCAGATATACCTCTCTAACAGATGTCAAGTAGTATGAAGTATGAAGCGTATGACTCATTTACAAAATACAGATACATGTACTCGGTTTCAGTCACATTATTTGTTTGAATTCTAGAACTAGACAACATGACAATGGTTAATGATCATTTAGTATCAAGTCTTTGTCTTATAGGATACAGAAACAAATAAAACAATATCATAAACCTGTTATAAATATGATTAGCGAATAACTTCTGTAAGAAAATAATCTAAATTACTTAAAGTATTAATTATCAAAAGTTGAACAGATAAGACGATACTAAGTGTTGATGAAGTCCTAATAAAACGAATCTTGAACAATTATGGAGTCATTTGCATAATTCGAATATTAATGTAGTGAAGGAAAACATAGGTGCAGACAACCGAATTATTTATAGCACAACATTACAGAATTACTTCATAAAATAGAAAAACCATACTATAATACCTAATTTTCAAAATGTTCAATAATTGTCTCGGAATTCATTTTCTTACATTTCTATACTAATTGCTTTTTATTCCCGTTTTCCTTTCCTGATCTTCCTAATCTTCTGCTGCCAGATATTACATTCCTGACTCGCGTTATATACTACTTATGTCAATATAAGTAGCATGCATCACACTCGTTCCCCCTTTTAATAAGTAGTTGAAAAAGAAAATATAAATATAAATAAAATCTTAATAAAAGGAGTCTTTAACAATTATGGGGTCATTTGTATCATTTGAATATAAAAATAGTAATGATAATAATATCAAATCTGATGTCATTTAATTTCATAATCGTTAAAAAGTTGACTAGTTCAATCATTGGACATTTGCATATGATATTTATCAAGTTCATAATGGTATTTATCTTATTCTCAATTGTTGTTATTTACACTAATTACAATGCATCTACTTGATGATAGCAATGTTAACATGATTATACTATAAAATAAAGCGATATTTATTGTATATCTTAGAAATATATCACAGCTAATTTGAATAAATGAATCTATAAATTAATTCGCTTACAGTAATACAACGATGCTTTAAATAGTTCATGTGATGATATTTTTTTTGCTTTTCATAACCCTAATACTTTAACCTTCAGAATAAAAGTACGAAATTATTGACTATCATTAATTATAAATGGATACTGGGTGTAAGGGTTTGCGTTCCCCCAGATGTAGAGGTCGTCATAATCTAGTCCACCACCAAAAGAAAGAGGAAGGGGGGGTTTTAGGGAAATAATGATAAGTGATTAAAGTTTCCTAATGTTGAATATAAGTTGCTTAATAATCATAAAGTTAATATGAAATAATTGATAGAGGAAATGTAAAAGGTATACAGGAAGAAGAATTAGAAAATGACTGACAATTATAAATTGTAAAATTAGATGGGGTACTAAGATTTATGTGAAATAAGGAATTAAACATGTCTCTATTGTACACTAAGATCAAGATTAAGTCGGTGATTTACTATAGGTTTATCTGTGTTAATGATTTTCGACCCAAATATTCTTTAAGGCAACTCTGATCTATAGATAATCCTGACCGATGATTCTTCTAGTGATATATGACTAGACTTGATAATGTTTTCATGGATTGAGCTGTTGACTAACTTGCACTTGTAAAGTCAATACAATCTTCTATACAAGCGTAAATAAATTGATAAATGCACATTGGGATGGCCTAAAGAGGTAGATTATCCTTGATACTATCTTTAATGTGTTATCAACCGGGGAAAACAATCCAAATATATAGTGAATAGATCTTTGAATAGATCCGTTTGCTGGTTTCCATACTTGATTTCGTTTCTGCCGATGAGTTGGGTTGATATTTTCTTATGAAGAACGGCTACTCACACACCTACAAAATTTGTCAACCAACTCATTAGCAAAAAATGAAATCAGTTATAGTAACCAACAAACGGATCATCCTGCCATATACAAAAGTCATATCAGGAACTATTGTAGCCGTTTGGAATAAGGGTACCTCACAAACCAGCAAAATCACTTCAATCAATCCTATGCAAACCGAAGGTTGAAACGACAAGAAAATCCAAACATCATTTATAAAATAAACTGTTCGATTTGTGAAAGACACTACATCGGACAAAGTGGACGCCCCCTTCATCTTTTAAAGGCTCTCTACTGAGATAAGACAGATTGAGTTAGAGTTTCTGGCGAACTGTCATCAGAATTCGTGACATCAAGCGGCATTCGGTAAAATTGTTCGTTTATCTCATTACTATTTAACTCTGTCATATGCGATTTTTTTAAGATAGTAGTTTCATCGTCTGAATTTTCTGGGACTAATCTCCTACTAAGTGGTTCACTTACAAACCCAGATTACACATAGTTCTGTTTGGTAAAGCTCCTCTGGTTGCCTTAAGTAACATTGAAAGAATGTTAAGAATGTGTTTCACTTTCTCTAAATCCAAGGAATTTCCTCAAGACTGATCTGTATCAACGTCCAAACTAATTATAATGTAATTGAGTACATCTATCACTTCACCTATCTTAGAAATCTCATTATCTCTGGTCATTTAGTTTCTAATGAAATCACAACACGGATCCAAAAATCTCAGTTAGTTTTCACCAACTTAAGTCATAGTGCAGGCGAGATGTCCGTCTGCTAACCAACTCTCCAGTATTTCATCCCGTTCTACCTTTTAGCTGTAAAATTGACCTTTAAGAAACAAGGGATATTTATGAGCTAGAAGTATTTCTGTCATCGAAGCATTGCTCTCATATGTTGGGATCACCATGTGAGCGATGCTGAAGTTAGGTCGAAATCGTTTGGTAAAGTATTGAGGTGGTGACAATGTATATTACGTAAGTCCAACAATCACATACCTCTTTGAATTGTTTTTATTTTTTAAAAAGTTTTTTAATGATTAGGATATGCTAAAACATTTAACACTTCATTACATAGAAAAATACCAAGAACCTCAGTAACTGAATTGGATGTCATTGCTGTCTATCAATTTATCCGTGTATAAGTATTGATACAATTAATTTATAGAATCTTTGCTTTGGCATAAGTCAGAAATAGTGTAAATAAAATCTAATTTGAATCGTTCAAAATTTGTTTTTGTCTCATGTAGATACCTTTCTCGCCCATATCTTATAAATGATAGTAAATTTGATCTACGCATTTATGTGTATATCTCATCAATTAATCCCCTAAGATTGTATATACATGAAGATGGATTGGTTAGATTCGCCTCTCAAAAGTGAGTTTATATAATGAATAAAGTTGGTTAAGATTCTATTTTAATGAAAAACATATTCTTAATAAAGAGGAATGTGGAGATTGTTGAATCTTCATAGTTTACATCGTGAACTAACATTAATTAAACAGCCACTGGAAACTAGTAAGCACCATACAGTTTATCTGTTCTAGTATCGGATTCCTCAGCAGTGCACACACATGACCACATAGGAGAGTGAACTCAGGGCCTTCGGTTTCTTTGTGAACACTTGGCCTCGATACCACTGAGTCGCTACCCAATAGTTTACATGTCTTACTCCAATCAATTCACGATATTGCAAAACCATGTTTCACTAACAGTCTTACATTTGACACAGTTGAAATCCAATAATCACCGCTTTTTATTAGAACTCCAGGAACTATATCTTGAAATCAGCCACCAGTGATTACATGGTTATTATTAGTAGTACAGGGTATTTGTGGAGATTAATGAATTTTTATAGTTGAAATAATGGTCATTCAGTATTGTCAATGTTTATCACTGAATGATGAATCATTATTTCAGAGGTTAAGTTCTCTCAGGGAGACTTACGTTTTTCGGTTCCATTCCTGGCTAACTCGTTGGCGAGAGCTTTTGAGGAGTTCCATGTTAAGGCAAAACACCCGTACAGTAATTCCTGGTTTCCATTGGTTGCTTAACTGAGATCTCTTGGTGATGTGATTTGTGAAAATTATATTCGTTAAATAGTCCCAGACATTTGGTAATTGTCAGTATTTTTAATTAGCAAACAAAGTTAAAGTGTTAGAAGGATATGTTAAACTGATCACGAATATTATTTTATTACTTACTTATTTACTTACTTACTCCTGTTACTCCTTATGGAGCATAGGCCACTGACCAGCATTCTCCAACCCACTCTGTCCTGGGCCTTCTTTTCTAGTTCCATCCAATTCTTGTTCATTTTTCTCATGTCTATCTCCATTTCTCGGCGTAATGTGTTCTTTGGTCTTCCTCTTTTCCTTTGACCTTCAGGATTCCATGTGAGGGCTTGTCTTGTGACGCAGTTGGGTGCTTTCCTCAATGTGTGTCCTATCCACTTCCAGCGCTTCTTCCTGATTTCTTCCTCCGCTGGGATCTGGTTTGTTCTCTCCCACAGTACGTTGTTGCTAATAGTGTCCGGCCAACGGATCTGAAGTATTTTGCGTAGACAACTGTTAATAAACACCTGTATTTTCTGGATGATGGCTTTCGTAGTTCTCCAGGTTTCTGCCCCATACAGTAGAACTGTCTTGACATTTGTATTGAAAATCCTGACCTTGGTGTTGGTTGACAGTTGCTTTGAGTTCCAGATGTTCCTCAGTTGTAAATATGCTGCTCTTGCTTTGCCGATCCGCGCCTTCACATCTGCATCAGATCCACCCTGTTCATCAATGATGCTGCCCAAATATGTAAAGGTTTTTACATCTTCCAAATCTTCTCCGTCAATTGTGATTGGATTGGTGCATTCTGTGTTGTATCGGAGAATCCTGCTTTTCCCTTTGTGTATATTGAGACCTACTGCTGCTGAGGCTGCTGCCACACTAGTCGTCTTCTCCTGCATCTGTTGTTGCGTTTGGGATAGAAGGGCCAGATCATCTGCGAAGTCTAGATCGTCCAACTGCATCCTAGATGTCCATTGTATCCCGTGCTTCCCTTCAGACGTTGACGTCTTCATGATCCAGTCGATCACCAGGAGAAAGAGAAAGGGTGAGAGTAAGCAACCTTGCCTGACACCGGTCTTCACTTCGAACGACTTTGTCAACTGTCCTCCATGCACGATTTTGCAGTTTAATCCATCATAGGAATTCTGTATGATATTGACTATCTTCTGAGGCACGCCGTAGTGTCGAAGAAGTTTCCATAGTGTTGTTCTGTCCACGCTATCAAATGCCTTTTCGTAGTCAATGAAGTTGATGTAGAGTGATGAATTCCATTCAATTGATTGTTCCACAATGATCCGTAGAGTTGCGATTTGGTCTGTACACGATCTATCCTTACGGAATCCTGCCTGTTGGTCACGAAGTTGGGCGTCTACGCAGTCCTTCATCCTGTTTAACAATACCCTGTTGAAGACTTTTCCCGGTATTGAGAGAAGAGTGATGCCCCTGTAGTTATCACAGTTGCTGAGATCGCCTTTCTTCGGTATTTTGATCAGAAGTCCTTCTTTCCAGTCTGTTGGTACTTGTTCCTCATCCCAAATCTTATTGAAGAGAATGTGGAGTATCCTTGCAGTTGCCGCTACGTCTGCTTTTAGTGCCTCTGCTGGATGTTGTCCGGTCCTGCTGCTTTGCCACTCTTGATTTGTCTGATGGCCATGCTGATTTCTTCAATTGTTGGTGGGCCAACATTGATTGGGAGGTCCGTGGGTGCTGCTTCGATGTTGGGTGGGTTCAGTGGAGCTGGTCGATTCAAGAGTTCTTTGAAGTGTTCTACCCACCTGTTTTGTTGCTCTTCAATGTTGGTGATTACCTCGCCTTCCTTGCTTTTCACTGGTCGTTCTGGTTTGCGGCGATTTCCAGAGAGTTTCTTTGTCGTGTCATACAGTTGTCTCATGTTTCCTTCTCTTGCAGCCTTTTCCGCCGTCGTTGCTAAATCTTCCACATATTTACGTTTGTCGGTTCTGATGCTCCTCTTCACTTGTTTGTTTACTTCTGTGTATTCAGCTTGTGCCTTGGCTTTTTCTGCTCTTGTTCGACTGGTATTGATTGCTGCCTTCTTGTTCCTTCTTTCTTGAATCTTATCCAGTGTATCAACAGTGATCCATTCCTTGTGATGGTGCTTCTTGTGACCCAGGACCTCATGACATGTTGAAGTGATTGCCTCTTTGATCCCCTTCCAGTTGCTCTCCACAGTAGTTCCTTCTCCATTGAGTAGATCATGAAAGGCCTGGAACTTGTTGCTGAGGACTATCTTGAATTTGTTGAGTTTGTTAGTATCCTGAAGAAAGGCCGTATTGAACTTTTGTGATATTGTCCGCCCCGTTGTCCAGTGCTTCTTGAGTTTCAATTTCATCTTGGCGACCAGCAAGTGATGATCTGATGCTATATCAGCTCCTCTCTTGGTTCTCACGTCCTCTATAGTCCTCCTGAACGTTTTGTTGATGCAAATATGGTCGATTTGGTTTTGTGTATAGTGATCCGGTGAAGTCCATGTGGTTTTGTGTATGCGTTTATGTGGGAATATGGTGCCGCCTATGACCAGCTTATTGAAGGCACATAGATTTGCAAATCTCTCACCATTTTCGTTTCTTTCTCCCAGTCCGTGTCGTCCCATGATGTCTTCATATCCAGTGTTGTCCGTTCCAACCTTGGCGTTGAAATCTCCCATCAGAATAGTCAGGTCCTTTGTTGGGCACTTCTCGACGATTGACTGCAGCCTATTGTAGAATTGATCTTTAGCGTCTTCATTGTAGTCGTTGGTAGGCGCATAGCATTGGATGATGTTCATTGAAATACCCTCTTTCTTTGTTTTGAACGAGGCTTTGATGATCCTTGGTCCATGAGATTCCCATCCTATAAGCGCATTTTGCGCTTGTTTGGACAGCATCAATGCAACTCCTTGTGTATGTGGTGCATTTTCATCTTCATGGCCGGAGTATAACAGGAGCTCTCCTGTAGTTAGTCGTTGTTGTCCAACTTGTGTCCAATGTGTTTCACTGATCCCAAGTACCTCTAGGTTGTATCTTCTCATTTCTGCAGCAATTTGGAAGGCTCTCCCGGTGTCCCACATTGTACGAACATTCCATGTACCTAAATAAATGGTTGCTCTGGTTGTCAGAAGGGGCATCGGCCTCGTAACTTCCGAAGGAATTCGGCTTTCATCATGAGGCGTCATAATTCTTCTAAATGAAGACCTTCTGACTCCCAGGGCAGAGTTTAAAAGGTTTGAATAATTTTTTCTGGTTAGCGTTTTTTTAGCGAGTTAGTTTTCTACGGGATGGGATGGCTAACCCCATGCCCAACCCTCCTCCTTTATCCGGGCTTGGGACCGGCAGTAGCCCCCGGAGGGACTCCAGGCGGAGTTAATATTATTTTACTAGGAATTCTAAATAAGCTATACTGTAATCTAGCAAATAGGGATTTAAATCCTAGAACTTTCTAAAAAGATATCGTCTTATAATAACATATTTTTTCAGCTGCAGTTGACAAAGGTAGTATCATAGATTTGCCGGTATCAATGTCAAGGATGAACTAGATAGTTTCATATAATCAGTATAGGGTTGTTGAGATTACAAATTTTTTGATTGAGATCATGAACCGATCGATTTTAGACCACCATTGAAAACTTAAAGACACTGGACGGCCATTTCGTTCTATTGCGGGACTCCTCAACATTGTCCATCCACGATCTCGCTCACGGGATTCGAACCTAGGGTCTTCAATTTCGCGCGAGAGCTGACATCCTACGGCGTTAACGTCTAACCTCAACCAATCCACGAAATTGCGCGACTATCTTCCATTGCACTGAGGTTGATACTTATTTCTACCCGACACATATTAGCCCACTGGTCACGGCTTCAGTTTCATATAAACTGAACATTGGGTAGAAAGTTAATAATAAATATATTTTTGTGACATCTCAATGAGTAAACAATTGTATTCCTGATGTTTCATGACTTAATGCAAGTCATAATACATCAGAAATACAATTTTTCTACTCATTGAGGTATCACAAAAATATTCTTTTTCATAGTATCATGAATTTTACATTACAAACTGTAATCAATTTGATCCTGTATAACTTTAACACGAATAGCTAAACTCAGTTTTGAATTATACTGTCATAATTCATATTTATGTTAAATATATGCTCGTAATTTTCTGTTCATTATTAGGTATTCTAATGCAATACGCTCCTTGGGTAATCGATATATTCACCTAACAAATTACTCCATTAATCGTTTAAATTCAGAATATATTAGTAACACAAATGAATTTGCTACGAAAGGTCATAAGTGGTAAGATTTTTTCCACCTAATACTAATCAATACATGTGTTAATATGGTATTGGTACGTTCTGCTATGAATATTGAATTTGAGATAACTAGATACTGAAATCAACCTAGAGTGTTAATGATTAACTAAGCTTAATCAGGAACGAAGTCAGTAGATCACCTTGTTCCACACTAATAATGAATTAAGTTTCTGTAAGAAGTATTCCTGATGTTAGTATAAACATTTACAATTTGTTTAAATTAACAAACATGGACAACAGGTTTATTGATTTAAATAAACTTACAGCTTGTTTGTTAGACCAAAAACTTTCATTGTTTTTTTAAACTTTACAAAATGAAATATTTGGTAAATATTGGTACATTACACTGTTAAACTTCTATGAACTACTTGATCACATTGGGTCAAGGAGTTAATTTATATTTTGTACGTAAACTACTTGACGCTACAATGTGAAGCATTCTTCATCGATCTTGTTGGATCACACTAGATCTTTTAATAGATTCCAACAAATACACTTACTAAATACGAATAGATCATCTGTAATTAGCCAGTCTGTGATAAACAATATTCTATCCTACTCCTTCTCATTCTTGTGAGCTCGTGTTTAACTCGAATGTAAATTATGTAAAATTTGTTTAAGCTAAATTAGGTGCAGCAGAGTTTGTACCTTAGATTCAATAACTTAAAGACAGATGCTTTAAACGCTAAGTTACTCCCCAAACTAACTATTGTTCTACTGTTTCGACAAAGTTAGGAGAAAACAACTCAACGTGTTAACACTTAGATCATCAGGAAATATAAGCTTTATATTGTTTCAAAATAAGTATGTTCTGGATTATAATCAACTGATAACAGTACTTGACACATATAATTAAATAACTGTAAACATAGCCACAAACAAAAGCTAGTTTTGCTTTGAATTTTCATTGCAGTCAGAACTGAAAACTACAGTGAATAAACGAGATTTAACTTAAAAAACGCTAATATTTTTCTTTATATAGATAAGTGAAATGTGGCTTACGAAAATAAAATCTCACTAAATCTCAACTGTCGTCAGATGCTTTAGATAAAATAAAAACAAGCTGAATACAGGGAAATTTAATTCACATAGTTTAAGGCACGAATTGTTATTAGTTAAAACCCCTGTGAGAAGTGGAAGTACTTTCGTGCTGTTTCGCCCCAGTATGGGATTCTTCAGAAGTAGGTATCCACGACCGAATATCCTACTCAGGAGTCTCATACCATAACTAAGTGGTCGTTCAGAGCTTTCAGCTTTTTAATGCTTTTCTTGCTAAGATCTGTTCATGGTTTGAACCATAAAAATTCTGTAATCTCTATAAATGCCCGTACACTAATAAAACTTAATTAATAGATATATTTTGTTGATCCACTAATTTCTATACATCAGTATGGGGTTGTGGAAATTATTAAGTTTCTGATTGAGATCATGAACCAATTGATGTTAGACCACCATTGAAAACCTGAAAGCACTGGACGGCCGTTTCATCCTATTGTAGTACTCTCCAGCAGTGCGTATCCATGATCCTGCTCGCAGGATTCGAACTCAGGGCCTTTGGTCTCGCGCGCGAAATCTTAACCTCTAGCATCAATCGGTTCATGATCCCAATCAAATAATATCTATACATTTTGAATTCTTCAATTTCCAGTTACCATATTATATTACAAAACAAGCAGATACATTACTTCATAAATACAGAGGAATTGTTATCTTTAACTAACAGCAGAAAATGTTGTGAATAATTCTCATAAAAAAATCAATTCGTTTTGTGTAGATTAATAACTTACATCCCTCTGTATTACGTCTTTATTTAAATCAATTTTATTGTACGTAAATTCATCATTGATTTCAGGAGTTTACGAGCATTCTGGACATATTTAAAAGCAAAAGGTATATCACCTGCACCTATTTGGTCAAATATTAAAGATGTTGTTGTAAAAACTATAATCAGTACAGAAGCTGCATTCAATACTGCTGTGAACATTTATTGTAACCATTCATTCTCTGTACATGAAATATTTGGTTTCGATATTTTTTTAGATGAAGATTTACAACCATGGCTACTTGAAGTGAATGTTTCACCAAGGTAAACACTATGATCACTTAATTGTTTAATCCTTTGTCATAATAATTATTAAATGTTTTTTATGCTTTCGGTAAACCGGTTTATTCTTTCCTGTGCCATACACTTGTTTAAATATTTTAATGATCACTTAGTTCTAGTTGACCATGCTCTCTTGAAATATATTTCAGAATATTGTTATTATTGTAGAGGAAGTCTACGTTAATTAAATCATTGAAATATGAAATGATTTATTGCCTGAATTATTGAAATGAAAATTTATAATATTATGAGACTGACTCCTGCCTACACATCGTCATATGACTGGTGGAATCCAACGTTAATAATAATAATAAGTTACTGACTAGTTACTTGAGTAACTGTATTCTCGTACTGAGCTTTGATTGAATTCGTTAGTTTATTCATCAGGCCAAAGTACTCAATAATACAAAATCCTCTACTCAGTGCTTTAAATGTCCTACTGGTTTTCATCAAACGGCTTTTTACCTTAATTTTGTGCAATACTGGTTGTATTCATGCTAACAGTCGGTATGTTTAATCTAGCCTGATAAGGTTTCAGTTGGTCTTTAGAGTACTCAACGGGCGAAATTCAAAGAGTCGGGGTAATCGAAGCAATATGATGGTTAGGATAGACCTGAACAATATTTACGTCACACCTTTTGTTCGTCTAAACTGAAATGGAGCAATATTCAAACTGGAGTACGATTATTAGTAATCAGATATCCCTAAACCGGTAAGCTACAGATCTACTAATGTCGATGATTACCGATGAACCTGACAGCTGTGATTTCCAGTACGAATGTTCCCTAATAACTAAAATATTTCATATATGTACATATGAATGTTTCCATATAAATGCCACTTAATAAAACTACTATTTCTTTTTTATTCTTTTTCATAAAGTATGCATTCAGATTCACCATTAGATGCTAAAATCAAAGGTAGTGTTATTAAAGATATGTTAAATTTATCTGGTCTTCGTCTTCCAGAGGCAATGGAACCACGCTGTCATACAATTCCTTCATCTTTTGCACTTAAATATGAAACAAATACACCTGATCTAATAATGTGCTCAAATGTAAATACACATGATGTTGAACATAATGGTTCAAATATGGAAATTGAAAATCTTATTTTAAAAAATGATGATATTTCCTGTCGACATATAAAAAGTGCCAGTTTTGTAGATAATTTAAAAACAAAAAATACTAAATCTGACCTTCGACGTCCTAATCCACCTAATCATAGATGGCTACTTGATGAACGTTTATTTATTGAATCTGTTAGTACAGATGAAGAAGAGAAAATGAAATATTTTAAAATACGTGCTATACAATATGGTTTGCCAAGAGTAAAACAGTTTACAGTAAAGTATAATTCATCTACATTACCAATCAATATGAAAGAAATTGTAAAACATTAGTTTCATGTAAATCTTCAATATTAAATTCTTCGGATACAAATAGTTCTTTACATTCATGTATAACATCAAGTAATACAGATGAGAAAGAAGGAATCTTATCACCTCGTACATCGATTTATGATGCAAGTAATAACAGACGGCTATCACTGTCATCTTCTTCCTCATCTTCATTGTCGTCAGTAGAATCAAGAAAATCAGCTCAGTTTATGAGACAAGAGTCTGATTCGCCTGATTTCAAAGTAAATCATCCTCATGAGATGATCCGATCCAAGACTAAACTTCATTCGGCTTCAAATGGAAATTTAAATTCAGTATCCGGTATGTTATATAACCAGATTATGTGAACTCATTTAGTTCCAATATGTAAACTTATTTACTAGTAAATTTGTATAGAAATAAAAAAGTATTAAGGTTTATCATCCGTAAAAAGTTGTTCTGAATACTTGTTTGTCGTATGGGTGCTTATATTATGGAGCACTTTATCCCACAAGTCTTATAACAGACTAAACGAATACGTTTTCAATACCTATCAGGATATGTACGATATTAAGAATAACCTTTCGAACTAGTACAGTTTTTTATACTTTGGATTGAGTTATCAACAAAAAACTCAGTACAAAACCTAGTAATCTGCGATTCTATTTAATAATAATACTTATCATCTTTTAGAATTCGGTTTCGGTTTCAACAGTTGAAATCTTCTTTGAACTACCATAAGTTCTCAAACATTGTTGTCAATAAACATTCAGATGCTGTGAAACTTTGTTTAGTGTTCACTCCGCGACTCAAACCCAGAACCGTTTGCTTCAAACGCCATCGCGTTATCCACTTAGCTACTGAGAAGATACAAGTAAAACAACACCAAGTGAATTTAAATTACATTGTATTCTGCTGGTTTTATACTATGACACCAAAGTGTGATAAAGCAAAACTCGATGATAATAATAATAATTATTATTATTATTAAAAAAACCAACCTCATATATTTCTATACAATATACAAAACTGGTATATTTTCCGTGTTAAAATATCATCCATCCATTTAACTAAAACGTTGAGTATTGGATTGGTTGATGTTAGACACTAACACCATTGGATGCCGGCTCAGTGGTCCAGTAGGTTAAGCGTTCGCGCGCGAGACTGAGGGCCCTGGGTTCGAATCTCGCGAGCGGGATTGTGGGTGCGCTCTGTTGAGGAGTCTCACAAAAGGATGAAACGGCCGTCCAGTGCTTCCAGGTTTCCAACGGTGGTCTAACATCAATCGGTTCATGATCTCAATCAAAAACTTAAGTATTCCATTTTTATTATGAACTGTTACAAATCATAAACATAAATTGACCTTATTGTCTTTTTTTGACAGGAAATTCAAATCTTTCTAAAAATTCATATAAATCACCGACTAATTATAAGAATTTCAATAGTTCAAATCTTTTTATCACATCGAATACACCATCTCATGTAATACTTAAAAATGCAACCAATGAAATTTTAGACTGTCTAACACCATTCGATGTACGTATATTAATTTCTATGGTTGATGAATTCGATAGAGCTGGTGGTTTTCATTGTGTATTTCCACCAAAAACGTCTGGTTTATCCATTAAATATTTATCATTTTTCGAATCACCCAGATATACAAATTTATTATGCATAGCTTATTTACAAAAATATAATCAAGATAAAGAAAAAGGTTGGTTGATCTTGTTAAATTTTGTGTCGCGTTTTATAAGCCACGATAACATAATAAAGTTTATGACATATCGGTTTATGAAGTATTGCATTTTCATTAACATGGATCTACCCATCTCTCCCCATTCTCGTTTCTTTTTCCCAACCCATGCCACTTTGTGATACATTCACACTCAGTGTTGTCGATTCTGGACACTGACGTTCGGGTTCTCAATCAAGATGATCAGGTCTACTCCCAAATATTTCTCCATGATGGACTCGAGTCCTTCATAAGACTAGTCACACACTGTTTATAAACAAGGATGCAACTTCGTTCTCTTTAAAACTATGTGTGTCATCTTCATAAGAAACGTAGAAACTAACGAATATGTGTGTCGGTTCAGATTACCATTCCCCATTAGCACAGAGTGATAAAATTACCTCAAGACAAACCCCAAAGTAGTAGAAATGTTAATAGTTGTAAAAGAAAGTTAAGTTGTGGAAAATTAAGAAGTATAAACAGTTTTCGGGAAAACAAGGAGTGAATGCACTTCCATCATTGCAGACGATTCTGAATCATGTCACCCAAAATCTCTAACTATTGGTTACAATAACATGTTTGTGACCACATCTTTTTGACCATAAATTTGCATTCTTCCTTCAAAAGTTTTGCACATAATGATGCTTATACTCACTACAAATGGTCAACCTTGGATCGAATATCGCAATTATGTATTTAATAATGGCACTACGTGACCTAAGTTCAAATCGCTCGGGAAGAATCAGTACCTTCCCTATTCTGTATATATCTATAACTAACTACTACCTCAGTATCTGCTTTATTACTTGAATAAATCTTTTATAACAATAGTATTAACCTCATCGTATATTTATAGACTTTAATTTGAATACATAATTTATTTATTCATTTTAACATATAGATATTGGTACAATGAAGCACCAAATACATATCCACCACACAAGTCTCATTTGATATGTGTGAGGGATGTGATACTCCCCGGGTTCCCAAACCGAAGCAGGTTTTTTTCTTAGGGGCCACATTCCGAGCCTTTGACCTGAAGGTCTGATTCACAAGGCAGTGGAGCATCGTGAGAAGATGCATTCCCATGGAAGCCGGTGACGAACGATTGGTTCATACGCCATTTGTTCCCTCAGGATACTGGAGCCCGTGTGCACCATTGTTTTGGGATCCGGTTAAAACGCCGGACATTTGCTTTTCGTTCTCTCATTTTCGTAAACGACACCCTCGCCACGAGAAGGCAGTGAGTAGGACTTCCCTGGCAGCGGCTATATACGCGTGGCCATGTGAGAGCATTTCGAGGGGAAGAGCGAACTCTCCCCACTCTCAGCCGTACCAGGGCATTTGTGGGTTGAATACGTAATTTTCATAAAATCATCAATTACAATAACCTTTTACACATTATTTACACTTTTTTTTAGGTATTGAGATGTTACGAAAAATTTGTGAAAAAAAGATTCATTTAAAATCTTCACTGTTCCAAGATGAAATTACTTCTGAACATCATTGGAAAACCTATAAGAAGTATAAATCTACTATTTTAAAAGAAACAATTAAAAGAAAGACAGATATTATATCATCTAATGATAATCTATTACAGAATAAAAAAATATAATTAATTTGTAATTAGATAGGTATATGTACAAAAATTATGATGAAATTAGATCAATTTATTACATATATGGTGTATGAATTAATGTTTCTAATCAAGCAAACGGTTCATTATTGATCATTGAAAATATATGTATTTAACAATTACAGTATATTGTATATGGATAATTTAGCTTCTATTTAGTTGGAGTTTGTTTTTGTTTTATTTTGTATATTTTCAGATTCAGTGAAATAAACCTTTCTTAAAATTTGTCTAGATGAAGTTTACTAACTCATTTCTTTCTAAACTTTCTACCTAAGTAAATAGATATGAAGTGTTCGAGAGATGTTTTTTTATGATGACTAGATAATGTTGAATGTTTCATCTATATTCATGAACATAGTTGCATTATTATCCAAGTGTTTTTATTCTTACTAAGTAGTGAATGTTTATAGTTACCAATATATGGATTTATTTTTATTAACTTCGAACGTCTTGGATACAAGCAAATTACATAGTATGTGAAAAATTTAGAGTTTAACTGTACTGTTATGTTTTAAAGTGGTTTAATTAATGCCCTAATGGTGTCTATGTAAAGGAATTTGCGTTGGCGTTTTGTATGATAAATCTTATTACTAATGTAGTAACTTTGTAATGAGGTCTCGGTTAACAATAAAAAATAGCAGGTCTACTCATGTTTGATATACCTAATTAGATTTATTTGAACAACGATCGATAGACAACATGGAAGGAAATGCATTTCAGTAATTATGAAGATTGTAACTTTCTGTAAACAAAGTAGTATTATCATGTGGTGGAATTTAGTTCAGATATAGCACAAACGTATAAAGACTGATGTGCGTAAGTATTGCATTTATTTATATTTATTCTTTTGAACATAGAAATATTGGTACAAAGGGGCACCGACTACATAAGCGCCACACAGGTCAATTGATTTGAGTGAGGGCTGAGATACTGCCAGGTTCCCCAGATCGAAGCAGATGGTTTTCTTAAGGGGCCACACCCAAAGTCTTTGACTTAGAGGTCTGACCCACAAGGCAGTGGAGCAACGTCAGATGTAGTCCCATGGTAGCCGGTGACTAACGATTGGTTTATACACCATTTGTTCCTTCAGGATACTGGAGCACATATGCACCATTGGTTTGGAACCAGGGTTTTCCAACTCCCCTAGGCGGACTCTCCGTGTCCACCAACCTGGTTAAAGAACCGGACATTCGCTTCTCATCCTCCCAATTTCGTAAACAAGACCCCCCTCTGCGAGAAGACAGTGAGTAGGACTTCCCTGGCAATGGCTGTATACGCGTGGCCACGTGAGAGTATTTCGAAGGGAGAGTTGACTCTCTCTACCTTCGGCCCTACCAGGGCATTCGGGGAAAGTATTGCATTTACTGTAAACGACTATCTATTCGGTAAGTTCATACAGCTGTTTAGTTGTGCAAGCTCCTATAGGGGTGGTCAAGATTTATATAGCAAATGCCAATGTAATCCAATTTCTGTAAATTAGAGCACCATAATCATGTTTCGCTGTAACATATTAAGTTTCCTTTATCCCAGTTTTGAATAATTAAGACGACTTTCTATCTCATCAACCTTTTTAACATTTTATGAGTAACGTTGAAGTATACCAGTGCTTCTTAAGATAAAACTTACCACCCTAGTGGGAGTAATGTATAGGATAGAATTCCGCAGCTTGAGAACATATTTCCGCAGATCGAAACGCAGAATCCTTTAAAATTCCATGTTTAACTTTTATGCATCAAAACAGATTGTCAGTAACCCCATCAACGTTGGTTGTACAAATAATGCTCTAATGTACTCCAGCTCGTGCACTAAACTGTAATATCAATGGTTTGAGATAAATGACCTATGTATTCAAATCTTCAGTTGGAACGGACCAGTTTGGACTAATTGATTTAGTTCATAGAACTAATTCCTTGTTTATACGGGTTATAATCCGCAGCGAAAATAAGCGAGTACCCTTTCACTTTACCTTTCTTTTTAAATGTAACTCCAGTTTAAGTTACACGAAGAAATAAAGATTCCTATCCGATACTTCCATGAATTAGATCTCCTGAGAAAATACTTAACGGTCAAATATGAATAACTGGTGAAATCATGGAAAAATATGTCAACCCCCATTCGTTTAGAAAAATATTTGTTGCGAAAAATTTTGTTTGTTTATTTATAATAAAGCCATGAGATAAGACAAATTAACATATTACAAATTTTTATGTACATCATTAAAAAATAACGAAATCCACAAAATTAGTTGAGAAAAGAGAGGTTTATCTGAAATACAAAGGATTAAAAGTAACCCAGTGGGATTTTTGCTGGCGTTTAGCTTGTTCACACGTATTAAACAATGATTTATAAGCAGAACTTAAATTAGGATCTTCCTGAATCGATCTACTTGTCCCAGAGGTTTCTTGCTGGGGTTGAGGATCTATTACTGGTTTTTCAAGTTCTGATGATGTTTCGGATTTTTTCTTACCCTCCAATGTTTTGTCCTGAACAAGTGTCTTTTTGTTTGGGATATTTTCATCGACGAGATCTGATTGTTCAGAAACGCGGTTAGCTGAAGATCGTTTGCGAGTCTACAGAGAATGAAACAGTAACATTTACTTTCAACATAAGCGAACAGAATGATGATGTATGTGCCCAAATGTATAACCAGGACAAAAAAAGAATAATTGAGTTAATAAATAGGAAAAAACACATCTGTCTGATGAATTGAATATACGTTCTAGTTAACGACAAATTACTCTATATTTTAAATCATTAAAGCTAATCTTAAATGACTTCAACATGACTTTCATAACATGAACATTAATCTGATTTGATTGCAACTACAATAAGCATGGTAGCCAATAAAAACTAGCAGAAATTAAAGCCAAAAGTAGGTATATTTTTTTATTCTCTGTTTACGACTGTCCGTCCTAAGTTTTGATTATCTATAGCTATTTTACTTTCTGTACTGAAGCGAAAAAAGTCTTATTAATAATAGATCTTCAATCGATGAGGATATAACCTTTTACACATTCGCGAAGTCACTTTCCATTGATGCTACGCCATTGCAACCTAGTGTTGATTGGCCTAAGTTGAAAAAAGCACTAGCATATCGCACAGAAGCTCTCTCGGTATTTTGCAAATCTACGTTTTTGTCAAAAGGATATTCATCTGCCTATTAAAGGGTGAGTACATTGTGAGTCAGGTGGCTCTGTACTACTTTGTGGCTATGAAGCATTGAAGAGATGAATTAAACTTGTTTAGACACCATCTATTTCAAGATTCAACGCTGGGTAATTTGGGAGTACGATGAGGTCTAGTCAAGACATGACGACAATTTATGGAGTCCTTTACGGTTGATCCTTGCTGTGTTTGTGAAAAAGCATCCCTTTTGGGTTAATGTATACATGGTAACCATAATTTATAGGGAGGTGACGCAGGTGACATGGTTTGATATCGGTTACAATGGTCCGAATGCATTTATTTTTTGCTTACTGTTGAATCATGAATATAATATTATTTAACAAATTTTAATCCCGGTCATTCATGTTATTCCTGGTCTACTGAAACCACCCTCTAAACTACATGTAGGAGCTTTTAACGTTCGAACACTGTGCCAAATAGGACAACAGGCTCCCTTAGCTAGGACTTCAGAATCTCAAGCCATCGATGTGTACTGCGTCTCCGAAACGCGCATACAGGATCCGAGTAGCGTCATTCATTTGACCTCACCATGTCAAAATAAAGAACTAACTCGATTCACGCTTCATGTATCTGGAAGCCCTGATGCTGCTCCCCGTGGCCTCACCGGCATAGGTATAGCATTGAGTCCTAGGGCAGAACTAGCTCTCTTAGACTGGATCCCAGTAGACAGTCGTTTGAGCGCTGTCCGACTAAACGGAACACAAAGAACTCGAAAAGATAGGGACACTCGTCGTTGCCTCTTCGTCGTCTCTGCCTATTCTCCCACTGGCTGCAGCTCAGATGATGTAAAAGATGAGTTTTACAGAAAGCTTTCGGACCTTCTCCGAAAAGCTAAGCGCTCTGATGTAGTAATAGTGGCTGGTGACTTTAATGCTCAAGTAGGTAAATCAAGCGAAAGGGAAGGACACCTGGGTGGATCTTATAGCGTCGTGGCCCAAAGAAAAGATAATGGCTACAGTCTGTTGCAGCTATGCTCAGATAACCTCCTCTTTCTTCGAAATACTAACTTTAAGCATAAGCAAAAACATCTTGTCAAGGAAACCAGTATTAGGAACCCAACTGTTAGCGAAACAATCTCAGAAAAAGATGGACATATTATTCATTCTCAATCCAGGAGATTAGATCGATGGGCAGAACACTTTAGGGATCAGTCCAACTGGCCCTCAGCCACACTTCGGTTTCCCACGACCTCCAATCAACCTGAATGACAAGTTAGTCTAAGTCCGCCAACTCTTTACGAAGTTGAAAAAGCTATAGGAAATCTGAAACGAGGGAGAGCAGCAGGCCCTGACAGGTTTACTCCTGAGATTTTTAAGGATGACGGTCCAGTACTATCAGTGAGATCAACTGAGGTCTTAGGTAGAATCTGGGAACTGGACGTAATCCCATCTGGCTGGTCCCAATCACTGATTGTGCCAGTCTATAAGAAAGGACAAAACCAGGCTGGCTTTCGACCTGGACGTGGTTGCATACACCAGATATTCACAATACGTCAGGTCCTAGAACATAGACACACATTTACACGCCCCACAATCGTATTATTTCTCGACATTAATGCGGCGTTCGACTCTTGATCGTGAGGTTATATGGCAGTTTGTCACTGAAAGGAGTACCAAAGAAGTACATTAACCTTATACAGGCTCTCTACTCGAACACAACTGGTAGAGTGAGAGCTTATGGCGAACTGTCATCAGAATCGATTACCTCAAATGGTGTTCGTCAGGGCTGTACACTCTCCCCATTCTTGTTTAACTTTGTCGTTGACGTGCTTTTAGAGATAACACTTTCCTCATCTAAATTTCCAGGAGTTGAACTTCTACCGGGAGGTTCACTTCTTGACCTAGAATATGCAGATGACATAAATCTATTTGGTGAAGACACTGAGAAAATGCAGTGTCTTCTGACCACTCTAAGCAACAATGCAAGCATGTTCGGGATGCGATTCTTCCACTCGAAATGCAAAATGTTGCTTCAGGATTGGGTTGCATCGACATCCAAACTAATGATAGGGAGTGAAGTAGTTGAGCGTGCCCACCGCTTCACTTATCTGGGAATTTTCATCAGCTCTTGTGGTCTGGTGTGTGACGAAATCTCAGCACGGATACAGAAGGCTCGACTAGCGTTTGCCAACTTGCGTCATTTATGGCGTAGGTGAGATATCCGTTAACCAACCAAAGGACGTGTTTACTGTGCAGCCGTTCGTTCCGTCCTACTTTATGGCAGTGAAACATGGCCGGTAAGAATAGAGGATATTCGTAGGTTACTATTATTTGATCATAGGTGTCTTCGAAACATTGCTCGTATATCCTGGGACCATCGAGTAAGTAACGCAGTTGTTAGGAAACGGGTACTAGGTAATGATGGCAAACCAATTGATTAGGTAGCGAAACTTCATCAGTTGAGATGGCTGGGACACGTGTTACATATGCCCAACCACCGACTGCCCCGACATGCGATGTTCGATGGTATAGGAGTAGGTTGGAAGGAAGCTAGGGGCGTCCAGACCAAAACATGGCACAAGTCCATGAAGTCACTGACAAGTGAACTTAGTCAGTCAGTCAGCTACAACGTAGGACCAGGCACATATGTGCATCGGTCCAGGTTGCCATACCGCATCAGCACAACAAGATGAACATCGGATTCATAGCAGTGGTTATGTCAAAGGTGGTGATATATAAGAGAAAGATTGCATATAGAGATATAATACAAGAAGAAAGAGTTGGTTCGTAGAAAGAAAGATATGAAGCGATTTTAATCTCTTAGTTTAAGGGAAGACAGGGAGTGTATACACCGACGCCATTGTGATCGATTCTGAGCCATGTCACCAAGAGTCTTCAACCATTGGTTACGAAAGTCACGCGGACCCCAACCAAGTAGTCTGCATCTACCAACATGGCTCAGACTACAAGTTAGTGACTTCAAGCACTGATGCCAAGTTTTGGTTTGGCCGCCCCTAACTTTCTTCCAACCATCTCCAATACCGGATAGCATTGCACGTCGTGGTAATCGGTGTTCAGGCATACGAAACACGTGGCCCAACCATCTCAGTCGATGAAGATTCATAACCTCATCAACTGATTTACCATCATTTCCTAATACCCTGCGTCTAACCTCACTATGACTTACCCGGTGATCCCAGCAGACGCCAGCAATATTTCTAAGGCATCTGTGGTCAAATACTAGTAGCTTACGAGTGTCTTCTACTCTTAATAGCCATGTTTCGCTGCCGTAAATTAAAACAAAACGGACTGCCGCGCAGTATACTTGTCCGTTTATTGATAGACGGATATCTCGCCTTCGCCACAGGTGACGTAAGTTGGCAAAAGCCAAGCGAGCTTTTCGAATCCATGCTGAGATTTCGTCAGACACCAACCCATTAGGGCTGGTCGGACTTCCAAGATAAGTGAAGTTGTCAACGCGTTCCACTACTAGCTGAAGGCCAGCTGAACTGTTCTCTGAAATGTTCCGCCCATCGTTCTAAACGTCTGGACTGGGAGCAGATGACAGTATCGTCTTTTTCCGAAATAATCTCACTTACACTTGACTTATTAATTCCAGTTTCTTTTATTAGTCTGTAAAGCTGTCTTGTGTTCCCTATAGTCGCCGCCTTTTCCATCTCTTTTGCTTTCGTTACCCACCACTGCTCACGGTCGTTCCTTAGACTTTTTCTTAACCTAGATCTGATTTGTTGTCGCTCTTCATCATGTTCGGAACCTGATGGGACGAGTTTGCGAGAATCCATCAGTGTGATAGACTTTGAAGAAATCCACTGGTTCTTTGTAACTCTGTGGTTTAAGTCGCTAATAGATGTCACTGCTGTTTCCACAGCTGCTTGTATGTCTTTCCAAGCAACATCTGGGTCAGCCTCGTCTTCAGAACTACCTAAGTGTGAACTCAGTTGTTCCTGGAACCTATTTTTGGTTTTCTCGTTACTCAACTCAGTTCTAATGGGTCTTTTTAATGTGGCTTTTTTGCGTCCAGTGAGGCGCAAGCAGATGCGTGCCCGTATTAGGGCATGGTCGGAGTCCAAGCAGGTACTCCAGAATGAGCGACAATCTTCTACCGACCCTCTCCAACGATGACTGATGGCAATATGGTCTATTTGAGTCCATCGTTGGTTTGGTGTAGGGGGTCGCCATGTTAGACGATGTCTCTCCTTATGCTTAAAATTTGTGTTTGCTAAAAATAAGCGATTGTCTGAGCACAGTTGCAGCAGACGGTCACCATTATCTGTTCGCTGTGCCGGAATGCTAAAATATCCACCTAAATGCCTTTCTGTTTGGTTTAAGCTACCTATCTGAGCATTAAAGTCACCCCTACGAGTACTATGTCTGAGCGTTTAGCTTTCTGAAGAAGTTCGGACAGCTTTCTGTAAAATTCATCTTTCACATCATCTGAGCTGCAGTCAGTGGGAGCGTAGGCAGAAACGACAACGACGTGTGTCCCTATCCTTCCGAGTTCTTACGGAGCCGTTTAGCCGAACAGCACATAGACGACTGTTGACGGGGATCCACTCTAGCAGTGCTTGTTCCGCCCTCATGCTTAGTGCTATGCCTACACCTGCCAGTCCACGAGAACTGGCCATCGGGTCACCAGATACACGTAGGGTGTATCTCGTTGGCTCTCCGTTTTGCCGAGGTGAGGTCAAGTGAATGACCACACTGGAATCCTGTATGCGTGTTTCGGAGACACAGCATACATCAATGGAAAGAGACTCTAGGGTTTTAGCCAAGGAAGCCTGCTGACCGATTTGACATAGGGTGCGTACGTTGAAGGCTCCAATGTGTAGTTTGGAGCGAGGTTTCAGTAGACCTGGGACAGAGTTTTGAGCACTAGAATCGTTGGCTATGGTGACACTTGAGGAGGAAGCCGAAGGAGGAAGTTTAGGGTTGAAAGTCGATGTAGGAGGAATAATAGGAATTGAAGAGGAAGGTTGATTATGAATACAGTGGTCTCGAGTGCTGTTAGAGGTATGAGGGCGGTTATCACTTCCCGGTTGCCCACACCGTGGAAGGGTTCTTCTGGAGGTACCTGAAAAGGAAATTGGATTAGAGGTGGTCTCAGTGACCTGAGAGCGTGACCGCAGTGCCCAAGGGACAACTGCTTGAGGCCGGTCGCGCACGGCCTTTTCGTGAGAGGTTTGTGACGTGTTAGCTCCGTTCTTCAAAGGGCCTTACCGCCGGAGACGGAAATCCGTGAGGTAAGGTGAGGTGTGCATTTTTAGGGTCGACCTTTTCTAACCCCACCCCTCCTTGTGGGAAGGCAGCATCGCTGTCATGCTGGTTGTCTGAAGGAAACACCTTACTGCTGTCACACCTCTGTACAGTCAGCAGTACGACTTCGCCTTCGGACCTTGGGTTTGTTGCTTTTAGTCTTACCGCTCTTCAACCGACCTGTCTGACATGGTAGGACCTTGAGGAACGGTTGTTCCAGCCAGTATAGCTCGGTTGCTTCATCACGATAGGCAAGCCCGACCACCACGTCAAGATAGCAACAACGGTCGGACAAGTGAACTGAGCCATGTTGGTAGGTGTAGACTACCTGGTTGGGGACTGCAAGATGATAGCAACCGACGGTAAGAGACCCTGAATGAAATGGCTCAAAATCGTTTGCAATGGCACAGGTGAATACACTCTTTGTGTTCTCCCAAATTCTAATCTTCTGAATTCTTCATGTCCCATTTTTTCCTCTTTCCAAATTTATTTTATTGTATTATACTCCTTGAATAACATCTTCAAACCCTAATCTTTCCGATTACTGCTTATACTCTTGCTACCTCTACCACTACGGGATTTGAATGGACAACTGCATCTCTGTGTTAATGTGGTATGGCAACTCGAACTGATGTACGTACGTACGAAGTTCTACGTTGTTACTGACTGACTATGACAACTCTTACGTTGTTCCTATACATCTTTATGAAAATACGGTCAATTTTTAGTCGTATTATCTACATTACTGACAACTGATTTTCACTATTTTAAAGACTAAGCATAGTGACTACGTTTTCCTGAAAGCTTACAGTTAACATAAAATGGTTTCATAGGTTACCGTATCCTCATATTATAAGTAGGGGCTAACGAAATTTAAAATATATGAAGAGATAATAATGATTGTTCTTCACCCTGCTTTAGCAAGATTATATGTATTAACACGCTTAAATCCTGTATACGGGTTTTTGAAGCAAACCACATATCTACTTTGCACAACTTTAGTTTCAGCTAGTAAGTAAGAGTTGTAGTCGTATATGACAAAGAATTGAAACACTTAAATTCCAGTTTTAGATTATGAATAAAATTCCGTCAGCTAGGACAGTTAGCACTAGTTGCATATCAGGAGAAGAGGAAATTCAATCAGTCATCGTCAACATAGGACCTGTTACAAAAGTGTATCGATTCAAAAGCAAGGGTAAGTGCCAGAAAAGAGAATTCAGGAAGGAACGAAGTGAAACAATGACAAACTAAAGTCCCACAGATGTTTCAAGTGATCGATACCATTCATTTATTTAAATCACTGAAGGATATCTTAGAACATAGCTCGTAGTTCAGTCAGTCGAGTTACAGTCACTGAACTACAGGTTCGGACCCATCCTGTCTGAACCATAAGAGACAAACATAATCCAAGATGTAGCACGAATCGATACGATCAAACCGACAGTAAAGTCAATAGTATAATAGGCAAAGTAGAAATAATAAGCCCAGCAGTAGAGAAAAAAATAAGAGAATTCCTAGTTAAAGTGGGACAAATGATCTTAAGAGATGAAAATTATGGAATATTACTAACCTCAACATTAAATGAACACAAAGTACCATTAACTCTTAAACAACTTGTATGACATATAATTCAGAGCACAAAATTAACATTGTTCACTGTTTAGTGCCCCCGAACGCCCTGGTAGGACCGAAGATAGAGAGAGTCAGCTCTCCCTTCGAAATGCTCTCACGTGGCCACGCGTATACAGCCATTGCCAGGGAAGTCCTACTCACTGTCTTCTCGCAGAGGGGGGTCTTGTTTACGAAATTGGGAGGAACCTGGCAGTATCTCAGCCCTCACTCAAATCAAATGACCTGTGTGGCGCAAATCTATTTGGTACCTTCTTGTACCAGTGTTTATGTGTTTAAATAAATAGTGCTGTAAAAACCTTTCACGGTTTACTCGATAAAACATTTTAAAACCAAATCCAACTGAGTAATTAGTAGTTTTGTATACTCGTGTTTTAACCAGATCAGAGCCAGAAAAAGTACGAAGTTACACAGAGCAAAGCAAGTGCAAGTTGTTTCGGACCTATACTCCACTAGTTAGGTTGTCACTCAAGCACTACAGTAAAACGCTATAGCTTGATTGAGTTGGTCCATGACCACAATATTACCTATTGATGTCATTTCATCAGACAAACACAACAGATTTAAAATGCATACCTTAGAAGCAGTTTGAAAATTGATCAGTCTTGTTTTGGCAACTTCGATTTCATCCTTAGTTTGAGGATTTATTAAAATAATGTCATCCGAAGAAAATGATGTACCACACTGAAAATTAAAAAGGAATGTGCAGGTATTTAACAAAACGGAAATCAGTTAACGTTTGCTCAAAATACTTTTTTTAATTTGTGTACTTCATAGGATATTTATTTAGAAGAATAAAGAATTCATTCAGAGAGGACATCCAAAAGGTTGAATCAAAGTTTAAGTAGTGGATAAACAATCTCGTGCGTCCTACTGCACAATTAGCTTTAAGACAGATAAAAACAAGCATTTCACTGGGGTGTGCATCATTTTAAATGTAGATCAAACACCAGCAGCTATATAGGCCAATGTTGCGTATTGGTTTAGTAACTCGATTTTTAATTTCAAGTAACTTCATTCCCCTAGTTAGATTATAGTCTAACACGAGTAACACATGATCCTTCTTTTACTACGCCGCGTTTCTCCGACTACTAATGATTCCCTTACTACTGCTACTCTGCCATTTATCTTGATAATTTTATCTTGCTGAGCTAATGTAGCAGAGCCTTCAACCAAGGCACACACGTGTTGGGTTCTACGTTACACATGACTAACTGAATGATTCAGAAGTGAAGATTCACTTTAGAATACAGGAATATACAAAAGCAGTAGCATACATAAAACTTCACGGGCTTGTTGCTATGTTTTGCGACAGAACTAAACGAGAAAATCAAAAACGGCAAGGTATTTACAAAAATGAGGATGTGAAAAATATGGGACGAATACTTATGCCCTGGATCGCATAAAGCGAATGAATTTGTGCAAATTTGACCTTGAATTATCAATAAGGGTCCTAAACATTGACTTCATCAGCTTACTGATAGAACGCCCAAGACTAGGTCTAACAGTCAAGTTGTAACGGATTCGGGGATGAGTGGCCTACAAGTTAGTTTCTCAACCACCTACATTTTATCACATCTAGTTAGCATTCACGCTCTGTATATAAATATGTTATTTTATTACATAAAAAACTCATTCGGCCACTGATCCTGCCTTTGATTTCAAGTTATTCAGAAATCTAAGTCAATAATACGGTCTCGTGAGTAGCCATTACTCGACCAAATTATATTATTTCATTCGTCTATTGATTAGGATTCTATTGATTGATTTAATCCAATAGAATCTAATAAAAAACCCAAAGCATTTACAGATGTTTGACGGGATTATAGCATCTGATTCACATCAGGTGAGTTTTTGATTAGTGCATAAACAATCACATAGTTGAATAAATTACCTTTAGAAACAATACAATTGTTCAAACATGTCTGACGAAATAGAATATTTTGCAGAGGTGGCTTAATCACTAAGCCATTCGACTTACATCCACTAAGTCCCAGGTTTGAACCCTGCCCCGCAGCTTCAACGGGGGGAGCCGGGTGGTATCATTAGCTCTCACGAATCAAGACTCATACCCAGGTACCTAGTGGATGTGCTAATTATGATTGCGACTACTATATTCATTACTACTATTAATTATTGTCATTATGATTATTGTCATTAGTATTATTATTTGAAATATACTGACTTAATGGGATTCATGAAGCCAGTTTGTAGAGTACCAGAATTCTCTAGCCTGCATGGACTTGGTGTTCACTTGTGAATTGTGTTGCCAAGTAATAATAGATGTTGATAGCTGATGATAGGATGTTAATCAAATTGAGTCTTCTACTAAATTTTATATAAGCTAAAGTATCTACACACCAAACCTGAGTAGCCAAAATACTATCATACAGTCCTAACTTTACACCAGCATGATTGAAAACCCTAATTTCTACGTTGTTCGTTTCCATTTATTATTTTATTCACTTAAACATAAACAATGGTACATGGAGGCACCAAATATATATTCGCCATACAAATATTTGTGTGAGGGCTAGTTTATTTATTTATTTCAAAACATAAATATTGGTACGAGGGCATCAAACATATATGCGCAACACCATATTTGTGTGTGTGGGCTGTGATGCTGCCCAGACCGAAGCAGGTGGTTTGATTGGGGACCACACCCCGAACCTTTGACCTAAAGGTCTGATCACAAGGCAGTAGAGCATCGTAAGAAGATGCAGTCCCATGGTAGCCGGTGACCAACGATTGGTTCATACGCCATTTGTTCCTGCAGGCTACTGGAGCCCATGTGTACCATTGGTTTGTGATCCGGTTAAAGCGCCGGACATTCGCTTTTCGTCCTCTCATTTTCGTAAACAACACCCCCGCCACGAGAAGGCAGTGAGTAGGACTTCCCTGGCAGAGGCTATATGCGCGTGGCCGTGTGAGAGCATTTCGAGAGGGAGGGCGGGCCCACCCCACTCTCGGTCATACCAGAGCATTTGGGGGCATGAAGGCTAGTATACCTTCCGGACGCCCGAACCGAAAGGAATTTCTTAAGGATTCACTCCCCTTATTTCCATCATCTAAACCATATTACCCTGGTAAATATTCTACATCGTTATCAATGTCCAAAGACAAAAAAGTATAAAGCTGGAATCGAAACAAATAACGAAAATCCTACTATTTTTAATACCGTTTATTCATATGATAACCGAGGTAGGGTAAAAAAAATCGGGTAAGCAGAGATCTAGGACTAGTCAGTCAACGCAGGCGATATTCAACTTAAACGGATGAGAAGTCATGTTTAAATTGTCTCAGAGGATCCACTTAGAGGAGTTGGAATACCCTGATTACAAACCAATGACACACAAGGGCTCTGTGATCATGGGGGAACAAATGGCGTGTGAACCTATTGTTGATCATCGCCAACCATGAGACTGTATCTCCTAACGTTGACCCACTGCCTTAGACCTTTAGGTCAACAACTCGAGGTGTGGCGCACTAAGAAAACCATCTGCCTCGGCTCGGGCACCCGGAAAGTACCACAGGCCACACACAAATCAATAACTATTACTGGTCCCACTGTTATTATGTGGCTCATATATATTTGGTGTCCCCGTGTACCAATGTTTACATGGTCAAATAAATAAAGAAAGTAAACAATATCGTACAACATAAGCCAGTTTTGAAATATCTTACCAGCATACATAAGTTGCTACTGACTTCCGTAAGGGCCTTCCTGGAGAAGACACAGCCACAACTCCATAGATAAACGAAAGGATAGATCCCTGACATTTCCAGGCCGGTTACCGGACAATAAAATACTTGAGGTTCTTGATGATCTGAGGACGTTGAACTTAAACGCAGCTCTTTTACGTCTCGTAGCTTCTTTATATGGTCTGAAAACCCATCTCCGTTTGACTTGCTTAGAAGTTTATTGATAACTGACTCTTTGTTGTAGAGCCTTCAAGTTTTAGAACTATGTATTTCGATTTGTAAATAATTACCTTCCCAGTAAGCAAGAAACAACTGGTTGACGAAGGGGATCTTGTGTGAGAGCACAGTGTTTCCAAAGCGCCATATTAGCCGCTTCACGTTCGGCAACTTCTTGCTTCTTCTTGGGCTTGACAAGATCATCGCGCCGAGGTATACTACCGCCATCACCACCCATCGGAATACCTTTAAATCAAACGCGGAGTCAAGGTCGACTATATCTAATATATTCGTGTTTAGGCGGAATTCAATAGGCAACATATTCATCGCGAGCTCATATCAACCATTTGATATATTTGCGCTCGCTTCTTGTCGTTCCACTAATGTTCAAATTATTTGGTTATGCAAAATGGGTAGTAGTCCAGCCACTCGATGGATAAGCTGTAAGTTGTAATAGCATTAATTCTGATCAGTGTGGTAGTTATTCGTGTATCTTTGTGTATCTTCCAGTTTAATAAGTGCGTTTGTCTCACAAAAGTAGGACTTCTCAATACCAGCAGTTATTACGTTACCAGGCAGATGGTTGGCTGGTTGCAATGTGGAAATGTAGTGATATTTCGACTGCAATGAGATGATAGATCAAGAATAACTCATTAATTTATTTAATTGATAATGTGTAGAAAGACGTAATCGAAGGGGTGAACGAAAGCAGAAATGATAATAAGAGAGACAGAAAGTAATCAGTGGTATTTTGTGATGATAACCGTGATAATTTATGAGACATGCATCAGATATGGGGTCCAAGAGGGGGATGTTAATCCATGGGTGAGTACGTGGTTTCCAAGTCTACTGTTAAAGATATAGGCCTGGAGGATGAATTCACTTCGGCTAGGAGAACATTCCTAATGTGGCAACTCGAAGTGAGAAGAGGTGGGAGAATATCTGGGTGTTCACAACGACTATGTTTCAGTGAGAAATATGATCTTCAGGTCTAACTGAAAGTAAGTGTTTCTGATTCTTGGTGATTTATCCACTCGAACTCCAACATTGATATAAAAGCACTTGACGGTTTTTCCATCATCTGGTTCTCTTGCACACTAAAATCCATCATCTGGTTTCCGAACAGACTGTTTTTTATGTGTGTTAGCCAGTTCCGTGCGAACCAGCTGCTATAAACTCATGCCTGTGTGGCGTGTTCCACTAACCAGACCGTGGTGTCTGTGCTCCGTATTGTGAGTTGTTGATCAGGGCCAACTAAAGTCAAAATGTTTTTGATGAAATTTCCTGTATTTGGTTCATTGACCTAAGTCGACTTTACATTTAATGTGACTGAGGAGGTCAGTTTTCGAGATGTACCAGGCTTGAAGCATGTCTGTTATGTTCTCTCGGTTTCTGAAGTCCACAGTAATCAGAAGTGCAAACCTCCTGATTATGAGGTGGTTAAGATGAACCAGCCTGTGCACACTAATCATTGTAGTTGTGTGAATGCCGATGATGAGAGGTAGCCAGCACCACTGTTTCATATCGTGTTCATGGATCTCATCCGATTATCACTTACTAGCTCAGGTACTCCGTAAACCGCCATTCCCGTTAGTTATTAAATGTTTGCTGATCTCCTGTCAGCACCCCTTACAATCCACAGTTTGTCGTGTCTAACACAAATTTGAGAGGATCACATAACCGGTGGTCTCTGAGATGTTATTAAAGATTCCTCTGTCACATGTAATGAATCTAAAGTTACGCTTAATCGAGGGGATTCGCCTTTCTTTACCTTTTGGTTCTTGTACAAGCGACACGGCTTGGACGATTGATACTCATTACAGCCACTGCACAGTATTTATCCGACTGTTCTTTATCAAATGCTATCCTACCTAATTTCTAATGAGCTACCACTCAACACTGTGACATTAAATGAAATCAAGTAGCTTCGTTTAACGTCTTTCTCCCCAATTTTAGCGCTTGGGGAGCAGTTTACGTCATTTCCCTTCCCAGTGCGCACCCACTGCCCCTCACTGTTAACAGATACTGCGATATCAACGATAATCAGTTATTTCGTTAGTGTACGATCTCGGCTTGTGGCTTCAACACTCTCGTGTTTGTCCGAGTCTGTGTGGGACGAAATTGGTATACTGGTGTGGATGACTGTGGTTATTTTCGAAGAGGTCTTTTGGTTCTCTCCTGTTAGTTCTGTTGTTGAATTTTCTCTACATAGTGAACAAATGTGACAGAGGTACTAACATAAACCCGTAGTACAATCTAGATACTGTAGATCACAGTGAGAGTGAGTCCAGCCACTACATAAATTGGACTGAAATGTCGAATCACTGGTTATGAAGAATGAAGTGTATGTTTTAATATTAACATTTTTGTTTCGATTCTCTTTATTAGTAGTCTGTAACACATGCAGTTGAAGACACACTTTACTTTAACTTCATTCTTGATTATAAGTCTTGTTTGGAGTGGGAACCTAGGTGAGAGAGTGAACCCAATTACTTAGTAGGTGATTCACTCTCGGTGTTTGAGTTGACTGATCGATGTTGTACACATTACCCGGAGATGCTTTTGTGGTTTCGTTTTGAGCTTTCTTATAACTCTGTATCTAGAAACGTGAATTTTCGACTTATTAGTAACCTCTGAATCAAGACCTCTACGTCCATCAGTTGCCCTTTTAGTTATGGTGTAAGTACTGGTGGCAACGCTATTACTGTGCATACTGTTTAATAGACTAAGAAGTGATGTATCATGCAATTGAAGGAACAAGTACACGGGACAAGAGTTTTGTAGGAGAAAGATAATAGAGATCGGTGAATATATGCCACACAAGAATAGAATCTGGGCGACAGTTAAAATTGTAACGTTACGACTGACCACAATAGCAAGCAACATCATGTAGATCCATTACGTATCCACAAGTTCTTTGTTTGTAAGAAAATGAACGCGTGTATGTTACAGTTGAAGTAACTAGGAAGAGAGTAGTTGATCGAGATGGCTAGACCTGCCTGACAGGGGTCCATACTTGATATGATTATGGTTGTCAGAACTTTTGTTTTGGTTGTCTACTGGCAATGTGAAGCCATAGTTCAAACAACTGAAGGAGTTTAAATGTCACAACATGGTATTGGAGTAGTAGATATTTATGGTTATTGATGAGACGTGGATAAGATTAAGTTAAGCTCAAAGTGAGCGCCGAACCAAATTATTACCCGAAATACAAGATACCACTGTTTCGCAACTGATTATGAATTAGAAGTCCATATAAGCGAAATCTACCTCCATGTCATATAGCAATTGTTCATTGGTCAATTCAAGTAGAAACTTGTACATATGTGAATTACTAATCGAGAGCTCGGTGAAAAAAAGGTATTACCACGAATTAGAATTTCACGAAGGTCGGCTGTTTTGTTTATTGATAATGAGAATCTATTTTGAACCTACTAATTGATAGGTCTCCTTCTTTTTTGGTATGATTTGAACTAAAAGTTAAACGAAGTTCGAACATATGTTTGGGATATAGTCGATGCGTTAATAGGTATATGCTCTAAGCTTGTACTGGCATTAGTTTCTGACCACGTAATTCTTGAAGGTGAACACATGAACACTGAGAAAATTCATGTGCAAAAATTAAACAAAGAGGGGGTCAGGAATGGAGAGGGCAGGGACAATTAATTATATTAGTTGGATAGCACAGCTCAACCTTGCAGTCGTGGTCATTCTTGTGTAACATTCCTCCTTTATCCACATTAAATATATTGTTCTGTGCCCAGAGTCTATGTATTCTTTAGAAACGCCGAAAATATTGCTGATGGATATGATATGATGAGCCAGAATAGACAGTTATGTGACTTCCGCTTAAGATCTTATAGATTAGGTTGCCACAACATTACCAATCTATACTTTCGGGATTATTAGTATGGACCATAATTACTAACTGGTTGTTTGCTGTAAGTTAAGGGTAGCACGTCAGATCTAGACATATTCTGGTACGAATGCTCGACCGGGTGCTTCAATCAGACGTTCCCAGCGAAGTTAGCGAGCTAAGCATCAATGTACAATAATTGCAGCACTGTTTGTCTTTGGGATTCGCTTTTCACTACTGGTTTTTGATATGGAAAAGCCATAAACCACCGATATATGCAATCTATGCGGGATGACTGGGGTGACTCGAATTGGATGGCCTCCCAACCTGTAGTTAATATTTAAGTTGTATTAACTATCGTCATATTCAGGTGACAAGCTAGAATAAATGCTCTCAGTGGACAACTGTATACATTAGTACGAACAAGCTGCAAAAGTAAAAGGCTGAACCCATGCCAAATGCGCTTGTCCATAATATTCAGTTTATTGATACTCGTCGATCGTGTATGACGTTGTAGAGAATCAGCAAACCATTTGATATTGAATGATCTCTGCTAGAGAACCTATCTGGTGCCCGGTGAAATTTCACTGGTCCTGTAATACGCCCACACGAGATTAAAGTGCCGTCTGACTCAGTGGCAGACATAATGAGGATAGTCGCTTGCAGAGTTTTTCAAAGGATTTGTAGCAGTAAATAAATCCCCAGAACAAATGGTCCTGTAAGTCTTTGGCATTGATGCTGACCGCGTTGGTTTTACTAGATACATCTAACTGAAGGGGCTCGATCACGCATACACACAATTCCGCGGGTGGGTACGCTTTCAATTTTTATCCAACTTAGACCAAGGGCTTCCGATATATAGATAGCCTTCTCAATATATATTCGAACCACTGCACTTCTGACTTCTGAGGCGACTGGGTCGGTATATTTCGATTATGAAAGTGTTGTCAAACTCAGAATACCTGTGACATCTCTAAATTCATAAGAATCCTCTGGATACCGATGAGCTGTATGATAAATCGAGAGGAGTCAGCTGATGCGAATCGGAAAAGAGAGTGATAACAAGTCTAGGAATCTAGGATATGTAGAGGTGCTTAATAGTGACTTACAGGTTATTTGAAAGTAAAGCACTTCGCAACGACAACAATAAAGCATGACATATTTTCTTTAATTTTTATCAGTAGCGCTAAAATCAATTGCATCGATAGGTGACTAGGTTCCTAATATCGACAATATGAAATTGTTTTTAAGAGCAATGATGTTGTGAACAAGCACTCACGTTGAGCAGTTCAATTTAATATTGTATTTACATTCTCATAATGGTTTGGTAAAACGTTGAAATCACACATCAAATACACCACTCGCATATCTTACAGTTGCTCCTTACATCCTTCATGATTCTTCCAACCTTGTTTTTACTCTGATTTTTCTTTTCTTTTGAGTTCAATCTTCTCAGTCGTCTTTTGAACAGGGATTCCACTTCAAACTAGTGTTACATACTGTTACATCAATAAGTTGGAGGAAATCTTACTGAGTTAGCCCATTTATTACTACTAAGTCTTTAGAACAACACCTCCTGGAGCCCCTTTGGGTCCACCGCCGGTTCCAAGACCGGGTTAAATAGAAGGGTTGTGCATGGTGTTAGCGACCACACCACGCTCTTTCCATTTCACTCATCAATACTTGAAACAGCTCCATTCAATTCCAAAAACAACATTTTTCTGGAATAGAAAAATGGTTTTAGGGACATCGTGGAAGTTTAGATATATATTGAACCTAATAAAGACTGACCATCCTTAGCTCGGTCGAGCGCCACATTTAGTTTTGGTGGTTTCTCACGCTTATTTGGAGTCTCAAGTATGGTTAGGCTAAACGTACTTGCTGACGCCCTAAAGTCAATATGCAACGCTGAGAGAAGAAAGAAGCGTCAAGTCCTTATCCGGCCATCATCAAAAGTTATTGTCCGTTTCTACGAGTGATGCAACGAAAGGGTTATATAGGAGAGTTTGAATTGTTGATGACCATCGCGCTGGAAAGATTGTAGTACAGCTAAATGGACGTCTAAACAAATGTGGTGTGATCAGCCCGAGATTCGACATGGGTGTGCGGGAAACTGAAAAGTGGACCAGGAACTTACTACCTTCTCGTCAGTTCGGGTATGATTTTACTTGGTAATATATTCTGTTTTAGTTATCTTGTACTTACGACAAGTGGTGGGATTATGGATCACGAAGAAGCTCATCGGAAACACCTAGGTGGTAAACTGCTTGGATTTTTCTTCTAAATAAAATCTGTCTAATGGATACAGCCTTTTTAGTGCTAATTACAATCCATGGCCTGTCAAAAAGCACCGTTTTCTAGGACCTAGAACTGCGTTCACTGTCCTAATTACATGGTTTTGGTTGCCAGTCTTTCACTGACGCACATTTAGTTAAATCCTTAAACGCAGCTGTTGACATCTATCGGGATACTATCTAAGATGTGTATTTGTCAAATTCGCTAAGTATAAAGCGTGCAAGTCCTTTTGGCGAACCGTATTGCTTAACATTTTATAATCATTGAGACATGAATCGCACTTGCTCGCCAGCAGGAATTTGAAATGGCTCTAATGTATCTGAATAACTTCTAGAACTTCATTTCATTAAAGCATCGTCTCGACTCACTGTTAACAAGCTTGAGTCTTTTATGTTTACTTACTTCTAGAGTAGTCATTACAATTTGATTCTTTTGGGACGTCAGTTGATAAAAATATGTTTTGAACGGTTTCTCGATATAGAATTCCCACCCACTTATTGTAAGTGTTAACAAGAACGCATATATATATATAGACTCTGGGATTGAAAGTTGTCAGTGTTCTTCAGTATTTCGCTGGTTCCCACCTACACGACGTAGTCAACCGTAATTAGTGTCTGTTCACTACTTAATAGTGTGTTGGGTCTCCCTATGAGTACTACATCAGGATACATCGGACTTAGTTTAAGATATGTCGCAATATGTCATTAACTCTTGTCGGGTCTTAAGGTCCTTAGTCAACCTCGATGACTAGGTTGTCTACATTGGTAATCTAAGATATTATTGCAATATGGGACTTGTACGATTTAGGGTCATTCTGAATTTAAGATCTGTGTACGAATGTGTGTGGCCTTGTATGTGTTTTCTAATATATTTCTCATCTGTGCTGGTGTCTTACGGTTATCCTCGCTTGTGAAGTTTGTGATTTTTGGTGTTGTACGCATTGTTACATAGCCCTAGTTATTTGCAAAGTAAGAGCCGGGTTTGTGGAGATGGTCTACACTATGTGGAACAAGACCTATTGAGCAGCCTATGATTTATAATATCGGCTAGTAAACAGCCCAGTTAGAAAGTCCCCCATTAGTTATATCCTGGTCCAGATGCATAAACTATCATTCTACTGACAAGCATGTAGCAGGTTGGTAACAGTAATTAGGACTAACGTTGCAACAATTCTTGACGAAAGTACTTCTCAACCATCGCCATTTTCTGTGTTGTAATATTTCGAGTGTTTTCTGAAAGCTAAATTATGTATAATTTCATTTGTTCGTTCAGAAACCAATCTTGTTTACTAAGGTTGAGTGATAGCGTATAGAACTGGGAGTTGCGTTTAAGCTTCACTAGTAGTAATTCACGCTGGGGAGCCTCATCCTTTCTCGCTAGTTTATAGTAATTTATGAAACGAATGGTAGGGACAGAAAATGCAAATTTATTTCATGGAAAAGAGCTTGGTAGTTGCATTCGAGTTTGCATTACATAGCTCTTGGGAACCAGAAAGTTAACAAGTCTTTGGTCTGAAATCAACATGTTATACTAGTGCTTGAACTGATAAGGGAAACTGTTAACCAACCACTTCAGATGTGAACAACTGCTAACAATGTTAATTAGAATGAGTTGATCTTATCGTAGACAGTGGTGCTACAAGCGCACTTAGCTTTCAGTTAGAAACGAAACATTTCTATGAATATAAGTAAATCAATCATTGTTTAAGTGATGGAGTTACTTTATCGATCTCACCATGCTGTTCAAACTTCAGCTTCACCCTTACTGATCTTAGAAACAAGTGATTGCCAGAACATTTGTTGAAACTTAGTCATCACAGTAACATAGTAGTTTAGCATGTTGGATGCTTATTTATGTGACTGATTGAGAACTGTATACTTCGCAACCCTTATCCACATAACTTGATATCTAACGGATCATAGCTACTTTCACTAGAAATTAGAGCAGCGTAATACAAGTGGCATATTCCGACAGAATCCACGAATTCTCCGACAGGACTGAGGATGAGAAGGATTCACCACCTCTCGAGGTGCTCACGTACGAGCGCAGTTTTATGATTTCTCTCAGAGAAATCCTAACTAACATCTCCACATATTGAGTGTCCACAAAAGATAAGACGTAATCAAATACCTGGCACTCAAGTCGGATTAGCTGGTACGATTCACGTTGACCCTAAGGTCTAAAAAGAATCAGTGACGTGCGGACAAACTTAGATTACCTACTGTGGGATCGCAACTCTTGTTTCTAGTCTACCTTATGGATTAGTTCTTTACGTCGTAAGTTTTGAGAGGGACGTCCCCTGACAAAGACGTCTGTTTTAGTTTGAACTTCTTAGTAGCATCTGAGCTCTCGTGTATATGAGGATAATTATGACTGTTCCGCATTTATTACTTTATGGTATTATCACTCCACTTTGTGTATGGCACTTCTAGATGGACTATTGTACCAAAATTTGTATGTAGCCAGTTGGCAGCGTCCATAGGTACGGCATGTAGAGATCAATTGTGTCGGACACTTATGGAGGTGTGTGTTAATTACCAAACAAATCCAGAAGCGTTCACTTCCATATGCTAGATTCTAAAAAAAATTTGTTGATGCTACTCGTTTATTCAGGACAAGAATTGTGATTTATAAACCTCTGACCAACCACCTAGTACAAATCATACGGAGTTATATCTCTCACTAGGTGGGTCGATATGATGTTTTGTCTAATTCCTATTGTCCTACTAGTTGACAGATAGTTTCACTATGGATATCAAGAAGATAGGCAAGAGCTGGTTACAGTTTCAACATCGTATAAAACAATCATTTGGTATAGAAATCACAAGAATATTTATACACCAACACCTATAGGTCCCGGAACAAGTGATTAATAAGTTCTTGATGTCTTACAGAGTTACCCCTAATCCGGCAGTACCAGAAGGAAAGTCTCCGGCCGAGTGTATGTTCGGAAGAAAAATCCGGACAGTTTTTAACAGTATGTTGCCGCCCAGAAAGACAAATAAACCCACGAATGAAAATCGTAAGGTCAATCGTAGCTTCCAGGTGGGTGAGAAGGTACTTGTCAGATCGTACCAAGGTAATAAGAAGTGGGAACCAGGTGTCATAGAACGTCGAATCGGAAATGTGTTGTACCTAGTCCGGAAAGATGTCGGGAAATGCATAAGACATATAAATCAAATGCAAAGAAATGATAGTACAGTGGTCACAGAAAACCGGCTTCCATTTCAATTGCTCGTAGATTCATCCCCGAAGAACCATCATGAGCGCAAATATCGAAAAGACAAACGACGCAGAGAGAAAGCTGTACAACCCTCGAGAGTAATGGAGCGCAAGAGGAATGCGACACCCAAGCTTCAGGTGGATCCAAGAAAAAAATCTTACACAACGGACTTTAAAGGGGGGAGGTGTGACGACGGACCACCGGTGAACTCGAGGAAGCTGTAAGAGGCTCATAAGGAGCCGAAGACGTTCCATCCAATCACCTGTCGGAAGAATGTTCTAGAATTCCAACGTGTAGCTTCCCCATTGGATAATGCTAATAACCCTCTGTACGCGGATTGGAAGATTGTAATGATGATTTCGTTCCCACTAAAAACTATAAATACCTGATAATTTTGTACTATGTTTGACACTGTTTGGAATAATATTCCTTTCGTTAGTCTTCTGTCTTCTTATTGCGACTTGGAAGGGTTTGGTGTTCCAGTGCTCAGTTATACGCGGTTGTATCAAGAAAATCAGCTTTTTCAAGATATAACATTTTCCAATATCATCGTAGATAAACCAAAAACCAGATTAGTCTACATACTATCTTTTCTTGCCACTAGATGAGCGCACTACTTTTTAAAGTCAAGGAAGTCACAAAACAATGATTAAGTTAAATATCTGTATGAAGTTTTCACTAGACAGAATGGATATGAATCCGTTTCCCATACCATTATTAAAAAAAGAGATACGTTGAAAATTTATTTACACTCAACGTGGAACTAGAGCTGGTGAAACGAAAGGTTAAAAAAACTTGTTTTAAACGTTAGTAGAAATTAATAGACATTTCACATGGACATTACATTTTACTAACATCTTTGGGATAATAAATATGATACAATGGGGTGAAGAAATCATCAGTAATTTATATCGTATAACGGATGATAATATTTAGTGTTTGAGAATTTATACGAGTTAATCGTGAATGCATTAAATTGAAAAATATACTTTGTACAAAAAAGGTCATGACTTTTTTACAAGGTAAAAACAGCAATATCTGTCGACTTCCCATCAGTATAAGGATATGGTCTTCCGTGAACCTTACATATATGTTCTACAGCTCGGCGATAAGCTTTCGTTACCTGGTAAATATGTGTGAATTAAAGCTATATAGTATTTGAAAAAAGTGAAATTCAACTTACAATAACATTAGGTTTTGTAATCTAAATGGCAGTCCTTTTTAATTAACGCATGACGTATCCCGTAGGAAACTAACTCATTAAAAATTGCTAACCAGAAAAAGTATTTCAAACCATTTAGACTCTGCCCTGGGATTTAGTAGGTCTTCATTTAGAAGAGTTATGACGCCTCATGGTGGAAGCCAAGTCAGGAGGTAGATGCCCCTTCTGACAACCAGTGTAAACATTAATTTAGGTACATAGAATGCTCGTACAATGTGGGAGACCGGGAGAGTCGTCCAAATAGCTGCAGAAATGAATAGATACAACCTGGAGGTGCTTGGAATTAGTGGAACACATTGAAATCAGTATCATGAGTGTGTATCGGTTCACGCTGGCAAACAAAATACCCAGTTTGGGTCCCACTCTCTTGCTATCATCTGTATTCTTTGTCTGTATGAACCCAATATATGCAATTTCAACAATATGTAAGTAGAGGGGAGTGTTCATGCATAATATGAAATTATTACACCTGAATAAATAAAGTGCAACCTATGACGAAAGATTTCTCAATTCAAAGTAGTGTTGTAGTTCTATGCAGTATTGATCACAAGATTATTAGTCAGCCGCTAATAGACATTTACGATAACATCCGAAACATTGTGCCAGGACCTATATATTCCTTGAATTAATAAAAGTAGGTAAACATACTTCATAAATCGGATCTTCTTAACGACGAACCTACTATGAAAACTAGTTCAATCTGTCCTAACCAGGAAGCTAAGTGTTGGTAATCATACAAAGAACCGTAATGTTTGAAGAATCATGTAGTTAATTGTAGTGATGATGTGCAGAATTTGAGAGTTAAGATACAAGAGGAGGAAATGAATTCTCACAAGACGATGCACTGCCGAAACAATATTAAAGGATTCAATGTGAACTCTACACAAAAATAGCCATTGCGAATTGATCTATAGTGTGGCAAAAAAATTTATGTTGAATAGCCATATAAAAGATAATAGATCAACATAATGATATATTTGGGAATTATTATTCCGTTGTCTTAGTTATTTACAGTAATATCTACTGCTAACTTTCCAGTTATTTTGTGGATAATTATGTGAAACTGTGGTAATTAAGGTAATATACTATTTGACCGAATTCTTCAATGGTTAATAAGTTAGTTAAATAGCTTTTGAAATGACACAATATCACGGTATTTTGATAGTAAGAAGTTTGGGAAATCGAATGTTAAACAACTCTTCAACAGTACAGTCTAAAACTATTCACAAGAGCACTGGTGAAGTTACTTTTGATTTTCAGCGACAACATATGCATCTTTTGTTTGTCATTAAATTACCATACTATGTAACATAGACAAATTTAGACAATATTTACTTTCAGTTTCAAATAAGTAAACCAACCTAAATATTCATTCATAATAATTGATTATCTACGAAGAGCATCCAGTAAATAAATAAATTTATTCACATTATGACAACAACTACCATTAACTTACTGAATGCTTCATTTTACTTTTTCTTCCTTCTCGTAGTCTTTCATAATCGAGTTCTTTATTAATTCCAAGAGGTTGAAGTTTCTGAGGACTAAGCCATTGCCATGTACGCTTTGTATCAAAGAAGAGAACTAATAAAAGTTCTAAATCATCAGTGGATTTATTGGAGGCTATTCGTTTGCCCCATTTTAACACTGACTCCGGAGGTAGGGGGATAGGAACACCATTGTGAGAATAACCTTCATTAGCATCTGGATCTACAATCTGTTATTTAAAGAAAAAAGTGTTCAAACAATGAAAAGAACTTTCATGATTTACATTTACTGGTGTGTAACAGTATTCAGTGAAATAAAATAACATTTAGTTGACTCAATTTAAGATCTGTTTATAAAATACAACATAAAAACGTGTATAACAAATATGTTACCTAATTACATTATCAAAATAACCTTTGAGTTAAACTGAGCATGATAGTTTAATTAGGTTCATCAAAGGTTCCTCTTTGAAAAATCCGACAACTACACTACTTGGTTGGGGTCCGCGTGACTATCGTAACCAATGGTTGGAGACTCTTGGTGACATGGCTCAGAATCGATCACAATGGCGTCGGTGTATACACTCCCTGTCTTCCCTTAAACTAAGAGATTAAAATCGCTTCATATCTTTCTTTCTACGAACCAATTCTTTCTTCTTGTATTATATCTCTATATGCAATCTTTCTCTTATATATCACCACCTTTGACATAACCACTGCCATGAATCCGATGTTCATCTTGTTGTGCTGATGCGGTATGGCAACCTGGACCGATGCACATATGTGCCTGGTCCTACGTTGTAGCTGACTGACTGACTGACTTCACCTCAAGGACGTTACTAAAGTTATTTTTCAAACATGAAAAGTGATTTGGTCGTGAAAGCAATGAACTTCGAACCAGTGGATTTGGACGTTTGAATTCCACCCATCAATTTCTGTTCGCGTATTCATCTCGCAAAAAGAGTGGCTCAAAATCGAGTATATGGAATTGTACCAAGTCACCGAACTACTAATCTTTGAAGCTGATTGAGTTTCAAAAATCTATCTAACTAGTCAAGTAACTGACATCGTACGATTTAATGCTCGGAACTGAATCTTGATGTGAGTTAATCGGAGATGCACCTCGTGGTACAATAAATAATAAACCTCTATTCCTACATTTATATGTTTTTTTACAAGCACCACTTATAAGTTATAATGTAAACACTACTCATATTATGATTACTATAGTTTAATTAACAATAACATAAACACTATTCTCAAAACACAGTAATCATATAAACTTTTGAATGCGAATTCCATACAAACGGCAGGCTACTAACTATAAACACTTGAGTAAAATGCAAGTAAGAACGAGGTCATAAACCGAAGGTTTTTTCTCAGGTAAATATAATTTCGTCAATAATGATGTCTTCGTATGAATAAAATAAATAGTAACCATAATTGGATAGTTGGCTACAAAAATATAAGTTCGAAAAACTGTTCAACTTACTATTGCTGGGTACCATGGTGATCCCAAACATTTGGCCCAAACAATATCTAAAGGACTAAATTGATGTTCCGTAAATATATCCTCTCCGACACTACCTCGAGAAGAGACACGAGATAAAGGACTTTTGAGTGGTTTAGAATTACTAGTATAAGATGTTTCAATATTGGAAGAAACAGACAATGGATCTGCTATGCAGTTAGCTTTTGTATTAAATTCATTATCCAACGGTAAGTCAATATGATCTGATCTGTTAACTGATTCAAAATTAATGTTCACAATATCATGATCTCGTTGGATATTATTTGATTTGATAATGCCAGTTTTTGGTAGAAACTTTGTGAACAATGTATCAAAATCTGATGTCATATGAGAATCATTGGAAGGAACCAATATTGGTGACGGTATATTAAGTTCAGTAGTGTGAAGCTTATTCTTAGCGGTAAATTTACTAAGTGATGATGACCGTCTTTTGTGTTTATATTTTCTAATATTCATAGAAGTCTGTTTTTTCTTGAACCGATAAGCGGATTTCTAAAAACAAAATACATTTTAATATACAAAAATATATACCAGAAAATTTTTAATAACATAGTAACCGACCCATAAGAAGGCAACCTAGATAATTTAACACGGACCTTTTGTAAAAACTTATTTAAGATCATAAAATGAACATATCTCGGGTTTCAGCAGAGTCGTACTGATGAATGACATCTAAATGTACAAGATCGTGACTATAAAACTGTGGTATGGCATAACAAAAAAGTATAGTGTTTAACAACACTACGAGTGGATATGAAGCTATTTTGTTATTCAAGTACTAACAGGAGTAAAATAACGTGAACGTAATCGACAAAGAAGTTATGCAGTCAGTCAGTCAGCTACAACGTAGGACCAGGCACATATGTGCATCGGTCCAGGTTGCCATACCGCATCAGCACAACAAGATGAACACCGGATTCATAGAGGTGGTTAGGTCAAAGGTGGTAATATATAAGAGAAAGATTGCATATAGAGATATAGTACAAGAAGAAAGAATTGGTTCGTAGAAAGAAAGATATGAAGCGATTTTAATCTCTTAGTTTAAGGGAAGACAGGGAGTGTATACACCGACGCCATTGTGATCGATTCTGAGCCATGTCACCAAGAGTCTCCAACCATTGGTTACGATAGTCACGCGGACCCCAACCAAGTAGTCTGCATCTACCAACATGGCTCAGACTAGAAGTTAGTGACTTCAAGCACTGATGCCACGTTTTGGTTTGGCCGCCCCTAACTTTCTTCCAACCATCTCCAATACCGGATAGCATTGCACGTCGTGGTAATCGGTGTTCAGGCATACGTAACACGTGGCCCAACCATCTCAGTCGATGAAGATTCATAACCTCATCAACTGATTTACCATCATTCCCTAATACCCTGCGTCTAACCTCACTATTACTTACCCGGTGATCCCAGCAGATGCCAGCAATATTTCTAAGGCATCTGTGGTCAAATACTAGTAGCTTACGAGTGTCTTCTACTCTTAATGGCCATGTTTCGCTGCCGTAAATTAAAACAGAACGGACTGCCGCGCAGTATACTCGTCCTTTTATTGATAGACGGATATCTCGCCTTCGCCACAGGTGACGTAAGTTGGCAAAAGCCAAACGAGCTTTTCGAATCCGTGCTGAGATTTCGTCAGACACCAACCCATTAGGGCTGATCAGACTTCCAAGATAAGTGAAGTTGTCAACGCGTTCGACTACTTCACTCCCTATCCTTAGTTCAGGTGTTGACGCAGACCAGTCCTGAAGCAACAACTTGCATTTAGAGGGAGAGAAGCGCATTCCAAACATTCTGGCATTGTTGCTTAGTGCTACCAAAAGACTCTGCATTTTGTCAGCGTCTTCACCAAACAGGACTATGTCATCTGCGTATTCTAAGTCGATAAGTGGACCTCCTGGATGGAGATCAATACCCGAGAACTCAGTCGACGAGAAAGTTATTTCCATCAGTAGATCTATGATGAAGTTAAACAAAAATGGGGAAAGTGGACAGCCTTGACGGACACCACTTGAGGTTGCAAAAGTAGATGACAGTTCGCCATAAGCTCTGACTCGACTAGTAGTGTTCGAGTAAAGAGCCTTCACAAGGTTTATGTACTTCTGGGGTACGCCTTTCAATGACAGACACTGCCACAGAATCTCGCGGTCTACCGAGTCAAATGCTGCTTTTAAGTCAAGAAAGACCACCATTGTCGGACGCCGATAAGTATGCCTGTGTTCTAGAATCTGACGAATGGTGAATATGTGGTCGATGCAGCCACGACCAGGTCTGAAGCCAGCTTGGTTCTCTCGTGTTTGCAGTTCACGAGTCTTAGTTAGGCGTCTGATAATTATCGAGGCTAGTATTTTAGATACTATATTAGTTAAACTAATCCCTCTGTGGTTGTCACAGGATGATTTTGACCCTTTCTTATATATTGGGACGATAAGTGATTGTGACCAGTCAGATGGGATAACGTCTAACTCCCAGATCTTAGCTAAAATATTAGTCAACCTAATCGCTAAAATTGGACCACCATCCTTAAAGACCTCTGGAGCCAGTCCATCTGGACCAGCTGCCCTTCCTCGTTTCAGATTAACTATAGCCTTTTGAACTTCAGCAAGAGTTGGGGGACCTACTTCAATGTTCCATTCACACTGTCTGGGAATGGAGGGTAGTTGTAGAGTAGCTGAAGGCCAGCTGAACTGTTCTCTGAAATGTTCCGCCCATCGTTCTAAACGTCTGGACTGGGAGCAGATGAGAGTATCGTCTTTTTCCGAAATAATCTCACTTACACTTGACTTATTAATTCCAGTTTCTTTTATTAGTCTGTAAAGCTGTCTTGTGTTCCCTATAGTCGCCGCCTTTTCCATCTCTTTTGCTTTCGTTACCCACCACTGCTCACGGTCGTTCCTTAGACTTTTTCTTAACCTAGATCTGATTTGTTGTCGCTCTTCATCATGTTCGGAACCTGATGGGACGAGTTTGCGAGAATCCATCAGTGTGATAGACTTTGAAGAAATCCACTGGTTCTTTGTAACTCTGTGGTTTAAGTCGCTAATAGATGTCACTGCTGTTTCCACAGCTGCTTGTATGTCTTTCCAAGCAACATCTGGGTCAGCCTCGTCTTCAGAACTACCTAAGTGTGACCTCAGTTGTTCCTGGAACCTACTTTTGGTTTTCTCGTTACTCAACTCAGTTCTAATGGGTCTTTTTAATGTGGCTTTTTTGCGTCCAGTGAGGCGCAAGCAGATGCGTGCCCGTATTAGGGCATGGTCGGAGTCCAAGCAGGTACTCCAGAATGAGCGACAATCTTCTACCGACCCTCTCCAACGATGACTGATGGCAATATGGTCTATTTGAGTCCATCGTTGGTTTGGTGTAGGGGGTCGCCATGTTAGACGATGTCTCTCCTTATGCTTAAAATTTGTGTTTGCTAAAAATAAACGATTGTCTGAGCACAGTTGCAGCAGACGATCACCATTATCTGTTCGCTGTGCCGGAATACTAAAATATCCACCTAAATGCCTTTCTGTTTGGTTTAAACTACCTATCTGAGCATTAAAGTCACCCCTACGAGTACTATGTCTGAGCGTTTAGCTTTCTGAAGAAGTTCGGACAGCTTTCTGTAAAATTCATCTTTCACTTCATCTGAGCTGCAGTCAGTGGGAGCGTAGGCAGAAACGACAAAAAGAACGACGTGTGTCCCTATCCTTCCGAGTTCTTACGGAGCCGTTTAGCCGAACAGCACATAGACGACTGTTGACGGGGATCCACTCTAGCAGTGCTTGTTCCGCCCTCATGCTTAGTGCTATGCCTACACCTGCCAGTCCACGAGAACTGGCCATCGGGTCACCAGATACACGAGGGTGTATCTCGTTGGCTCTCCGTTTTGCCGAGGTGAGGTCAAGTGAATGACCACACTGGAATCCTGTATGCGTGTTTCGGAGACACAGCATACATCAATGGAAAGAGACTCTAGGGTTTTAGCCAAGGAAGCCTGCTGACCGATTTGACATAGGGTGCGTACGTTGAAGGCTCCAATGTGTAGTTTGGAGCGAGGTTTCAGTAGACCTGGGACAGTGTTTTGAGCACTAGAATCGTTGGCTATGGTGACACTTGAGGAGGAAGCCGAAGGAGGAAGTTTAGGGTTGAAAGTCGATGTAGGAGGAATAATAGGAATTGAAGAGGAAGGTTGATTATGAATACAGTGGTCTTGAGTGCTGTTAGAGGTATGAGGGCGGTTATCACTTCCCGGTTGCCCACACCGTGGAAGGGTTCTTCTGGAGGTACCTGAAAAGGAAATTGGATTAGAGGTGGTCTTAGTGACCTGAGAGCGTGACCGCAGTGCCCAAGGGACAACTGCTTGAGGCCGGTCGCGCACGGCCTTTTCGTGAGAGGTTTTGACGTGTTAGCTCCGTTCTTCAAAGGGCCTTACCGCCGGAGACGGAAATCCGTGAGGTAAGGTGAGGTGTGCATTTTTAGGGTCGACCTTTTCTAACCCCACCCCTCCTTGTGGGAAGGCAGCATCGCTGTCATGCTGGTTGTCTGAAGGAAACACCTTACTGCTGTCACACCTCTGTACAGTCAGCAGTACGACTTCGCCTTCGGACCTTGGGTTTGTTGCTTTTAGTCTTACCGCTCTTCAACCGACCTGTCTGACATGGTAGGACCTTGAGGAACGGTTGTTCCAGCCAGTATAGCTCGGTTGCTTCATCACGATAGGCAAGCCCGACCACCACGTCAAGGTAGCAACAACGGTCGGTAATATTGATAAACTAATTTGATGAAAGCTTAAAATAAACACCTCCAGTGCGTTTTATATTAAAATATTCTGTTATTAATAAATTATGCCTACAAATATCTTTAGGAAAAAATCAGACCTCCCCAATAGTTACGTTTCTACTGAGCAAGGATTTTATGTTCTTTGACAAATGTTTTCCATAAATTAGTTGAACAGGACCAAGTTCTAGATATATTTGCCGAAAATGCACGTCTTTAAAAAGTCTATTATCACGTTAGAAAGTTGAGTCACAATACACTTCAAATGCTTTTATTCATTTTTCTGGCTTAGCAGTGACACTCTAAGTAGGGTTTAAGTAATTTTTCATACTTGATTAGTTCTTTCCTTCATGACATTATGGAAACAAATGTTCAAGAAAAGTACTATAGTTGTGTAAACCTATCTATAAGCAGAAAAACTTCCTAATTGTGGATACAACGATGGATATAACAATTCACCAATCATTGATTAATGTTATTGACTATTAGATCAGAAAAATACTTTCACAAGACTGACACGGACTTATCCTAAGTGACCAGTCAATTCATTAGGATATTTGGAAACGTGGAGTTTTATTGTTTTGTGGTTAAATATATATTCAAAATTTAACCCTGAACAAGTCAAGAATATTTTATGCTAGATACGTTAGAAATATACCTAATATCAATGTCTTAATAGGGTATTACTAGAAGTAAATAATTTATAGTACCTAATTGGAGTACTTTTTGGAGAGGAACTAAAACTATTTTTGAAAGATGCGAAACATTAATATAATTCAACAAGAGTTTGATATAAATCTTCTTAAAACTTACTAAGCGACTGACAGGAGAACGTTTATTAGCAAAAGCCATTCGACTTGTACCAATCAATGTAGTTGTTCTATTAACAATATTGGATTTTTTATTAATCTCAACTTCAGGATCTTGTTTTGAACGTTGCTGTTGGTAGTGTCTACAAAGAGAACGATCAGAATCATGACTAGGATTAGGAGTTGAAGAGTTAGTATTCGGATAAACAATACATCCATCATCACTTTCATCTTCATCTGTCTCTTCACTATCATCTTCGTCATCCTCATCATCACCGCGTGATAAACGACCGATTCGATAACGTGTAAATGCAGGTCCATTACTTAAAGATATTAGTCCATTCATTTCATTTGTAGACCGAGCTACTTGACGAATTTGCAAACAATTGGAATCGTTAGCTGCTAAAAGATTAGAAGGATTCCATTTACAATTGGTAGACTCGTTGTTCCCAGGCGATTTGATGAGGTTTTCAAAGCAATTCGCTGAATTAGTGTAGGCTTGGGCAAATGCATTTCCAGGAGAGTGTGACTGCAGTCGAGCTAGTTTTGAAGGTTTTCGACAGTCTCCATTGTGTAAAGTAGGAGAAAGATGAAGTTCCCGATCTCCATTAGTTGATGAAAGACTAAAGAAGACAAAAAGTAGAAACACAAGTCGATTTAATGGTTAAATATTCATTAGTATATCTATTATATCTTTGGTAGATTTAGGAAGGTAAATGAGGATGACAACCAAAGTTTCTGTCATATCAGAGGGGTCATTGGGTTTAAACAAGTAGTCTTTCAATTGTATCAGGTATTTGTTATGTCTGTCACTTTTAAGCCTTTCATAGCCCAACATTCATGAACACTTTACGCGACCAGTTTTAAAATCAAAACATGACTCAGATAGAAATATAAATACATTTTACAGCAAACAACAAAGTTATTTAGTTACATATTAATTAAAATGATTATAATTTATACATTGAGTAATCGTCAATGAATACAAATTACAAGTGCATTAATTAATAAGATGGAGATAAATTGAAAAAAACTTCATCGGAGAAAGTTTACTTTTATCATTTTGTGAATCCTGAAATCGATTTCTTAATAAATGCAATATTTAGGGATTCTATATCTTCAAAAGTGTCATGCCAGTTAGGATACTTAAACTCTAATCTAGTTGGCAGTACAGGGGTTGTGGCGATTGTTGAATAGTATCAAGGTTACGAACCGACCTAAGTTAAACAAACATCATAAACCTGAAAGTAGTGAAAATCCATTTTGTTCTAGTGTGGGATGCCTCAGAAGAGCGCATCCAAGCCCCCACCATATGCTATTGAAACCAGTACCTTACGTCTTGCATGCGAACTGCTAACTTCTACACCGCTGAGATATCCAAAGGTCTATACGTCCCGATCGAAGCTGCTACCTTGACGCGGTGGTCGGGCTTGCCTATCGTGATGACCCAACCGAGCTATATTGGCTGGAACATATGTTCCTGTAGGTTCTACCATGCCAGGCAGGTCGATTGGTGAACGGTAAGACTAAAAGCAGCAACTCAAGGTCTGAGGGCGAAGTCGTACTGCTGACTGTAGAGGGGTGTGACAGCAGTAAGGTGTTTCCTTCGGACAACCAGCATGACAGCGATGCTGCCTTCCCACAAGGAGGGGTGGGGTTAGAAAAGGTCGACCCTAAAAATGTCACACCTCACCTTACCTCACGGATTTCCGTCTCCGGCGGTAAGGCCCTTTGAAGAACGGAGCTAACACGTCAAAAACCTTCCACAAAAAGGCCGTGCGCGACCGGCCTCAAGCAGTTGTCCCTTGGGCTCTGCGGTCACGCTCCCAGGTCGTCAAGACCAACACTAATCCAATTTCCTTTTCAGGTTCCTCAAGAAATACCCTTCCACGGTGTGGGCAGCCGGGAAGTGACATCAGCCCTCATACCCGTAACAGCACAAGAGACCAAGGTGGTCACATTCAAATCCTTCCTACACCTCCTAATACCTCTCTTATCTCCATGACTAACCCTCCTCACGTCTCTTTATCACCTCGCACCGCTAGGGCAAACGATTTGAGTACGTGGAACGCCATTCCTGGTCTCCTGAAACCACGCTCTAAACTACACGTAGGAGCTTTTAACGTACGAACACTTTGCCAAATAGGACAGCAGGCTTCCTTAGCTAAAACTTTAGAATCTCGCGCCATCGATGTGTGCTGCGTCTCCGAAACGCGCATACAGGATCCGAGTAGCGTCATTCATTTGACCTCACCATGCCAAAATAAAGAACCGACTCGATTTACGCTTCGTGTATCTGGAAGCCCTGATTCTGCTTCCCGTGGCCTCGCCGGCGTAGGTATAGCATTGAGTCCTAGGGCAGAACTAGCTCTCTTAGAGTGGATCCCAGTAGACAGTCGTTTGTGCGCTGTCCGACTGAACGGAACAGTAAGAATCCGGAAAGATAGGGACACTCGTCGTTGCCTCTTCGTCGTCTCTGCCTATTCTCCCACTGACTGCAGCTCAGATGATGTAAAAGATGAGTTTTACAGAAAGCTTTCGGACCTTCTCCGAAAAGCTAAGCGCTCGGATGTAGTAATAGTGGCCGGTGACTTTAATGCTCAAGTAGGTAAACTTAGCGATAGGGAAAGACACCTAGGTGGATCTTATGGTGTCGTGGCTCAAAGAACAGATAATGGCGACCGTCTGTTGCAGCTATGCTCAGATAACCGCCTGTTCCTTGCAAATACTAACTTTAAGCATAAGGAAAAACATCTTTTAACATGGCGACCCCCGAATTCGTCCCAACGTTGGACCCAAATAGATCACATCGCTATCAGCCACCGATGGAGGGGCTCGATAGAAGACTGTCGCTCATTCTGGAGCACATGCCTAGATTCAGATCATGCTCTAGTGCGAGCGCGTATTTGCTTGCGTCTTACTGGACGTAGGAAAGACGCTGCAAGGAAACCTCTTAGGGCCTACTTAATGATAGTCAAGCTAAGAGTATATTTCAGGAACAACTAGGAAAACAGTTAGGCAGCCATGTATGTGATGCCCACCCCGATGCAGCATGGAATGATATCCGAAAAGCTGTGGAAACAGCAGTGATATCTGCTAGTAAGGTAAACCAGAAGGTTAGGGAGCAACACTGGATCTCAGCAGCATCTATCGCACTGATAGATGCTCGGAAACTCATTCCACCTGGCTCTGAACATAATGAAGAGCGGAGTCAGCTTAAGCGCAAGCTGACAAGAAGTCTACGCAATGATCGCGAACAGTGGTGGGTAGCGAAAGCAAGAGAGATGGAAAAGGCAGCGGCAATAGGTAATAGCAGACAATTGTTCAGACTCGTTAAGGAAACCGGAATTAGGAACCCGACCGTTAGCGAAACAATCTCAGAGAAAGATGGACATATTATTCATTCTCAATCCAGGAGATTGGATCGATGGGCAGAACACTTTAGGGATCAGTTCAACTGGCCTTCAGCCACACTTCGGTTTCCCACGATCTCTAGTCAACCTGAATGGCAAGTTAATGTAGGTCCTCCGTCCCTTTACGAAGTTGAAAAAGCCATAGGAAATCTGAAACGAGGGAGAGCAGCAGGCCCTGACAGGTTTACTCCTGAGATTTTTAAGGATGGTGGTCCAGTATTAGCAATGAGATTAACCGAGGTCTTAGGTAGAATTTGGGAACTGGACGTAATCCCATCTGACTGGTCTCAATCACTGATTGTGCCAGTCTATAAGAAAGGACAAAAGTCCTCTTGTGACAATCACAGAGGAATCAGTTTGACTAATATAGTGTCTAAAATATTAGCTTCAATAATACTTCGACGCCTAATCAAAGCTCGTGAAGAGCAGATTAGAGAAAACCAGGCCGGTTTTCGACCTGGACGTGGTTGTATAGATCAGATATTCACACTACGTCAAGTTCTAGAACACAGACACACATTCAGACGCCCCACAATGGTAGTATTTCTCGACCTTAAGGCGGCATTCGACTCTGTTGATCGTGAGGTTCTATGGCAGTGTTTGTCACTGAAAGGAGTACCAAAGAAGTACATTAACCTTATAAAGGCTCTCTACTCGAACACAACTGGTAGAGTGAGAGCTTATGGCGAACTGTCATCAGAATTGATTACCTCAAGTGGTGTTCGTCAGGGCTGTCCACTCTCCCCATTCTTGTTCAACTTTGTGGTCGACGTACTTTTAGAGATAACACTCTCCTCATCTAAATTTACAGGGGTTGAACTTCTACCGGGAGGTTCACTTGTTGACTTAGAATATGCAGATGACATAGTTTTATTTGGTGAAGACGCTGACAAAATGCAGAGTCTTCTGACCACTCTAAGCAACAATGCAAGCATGTTCGGGATGCGATTCTCTCCCTCGAAATGCAAAATGTTGCTTCAGGATTGGGTTACATCGACACCCGAACTAGTGATAGGGAGTGAAGTAGTTGAGTGTGTCGACCGCTTCACTTATCTTGGAAGTCTCATCAGCCCTTGTGGTTTAGTGTGTGACG